AAAAAAAAAAAAGAAATAATCGAAAGGCGATCGGTGATGTACTACTCTGCTCTCCCCGTCTCCCTGCTCTCATCTCGTCTCAGCTCCAGAGGAAATAAACCATCCAAGTAAGCAAAAGGTATTGTGGTAGCGCGGTCATGAACGTCGAAAGGTTGTCAGACGGTGTTAATAATGATAGGTCGTGAGGTCCTGTAGGGCCAGAATAAAAAGCAGGGTCAATATTCTGCAAGAGCGAAGGGCCGAAGGGTGCTTTCGCAGGAAGGGGAGAAAGCCGAATGTGGAGGGAAAAAGACATACATATGCATGATTAGCAACCCGTAATAAGAGAACAAACGATGATGGATAAGGTGGGTGGTTGAATGTATTCAGGCAATGACGCAGTAGGTCGAGTTGCCTCCCCCGGATTCGGATTCGACGGGGTATGAGCTGATTGGCTGGGACTCCGAAGAGGCAGCGGGGATAGAGGCGACGGTGTTGACGAAGGAGTCCATTGAGATAGAGAGTATGAGTACGAGTATGAGGAAGAGTTGAAGAGGTTTGAGTAGGTTGGTAGCGCGAAGAGGAGATGTTTCGCTGGTAGAGGGGAGGTCGTCGAAGTTCGTCAGAGAGTCTGGGGGAGCATTGGCCCTCTGGCGCCAGCTTTTATACCTTGTTCAAGGTCGCTGTCCGGCACATCTCACATCATCGTGAAGCCAAGGTTTCTGAGATCGGAAGTCGGGGAAGCAGATAGGCGTTCGCGAACAATGAGTACTGGGCGAAAAACAATAGCGGTAGGCACGACGTTCCCGAGTTCGGGAGACATGCTCAGTGAGATGTTCGCTGTGAGTACAGATCGTGACTGATGCATGGCCCAGAATGGGTCGGAGCTCCATGTGCGACGGCCTGGTAGCGAGCAACACAATAAGACGCCTGTCCGAATTACCATGCTGCTTGTAATTCGGGAGCGGGACATATGTTGCACTTGAACGTGCAAAACAATAAGGGTCAGTCCCCGCAGTGTTACCCTTTTGGGACTAAAGTGTTCGTGGGAGCAAGGTTGTCCGCGCCACAGCGTGCAGCCTCACCATCATTTCTCCAAAGTTTAAGTTGTTAAACCCCGAACAGGACATGCAAAGAGTACGTAACACAAAGAAACCACTCCTTAGCAGACAGTGGTACATACCGTATGCATGCAGAGTGAAAAGCCAACTGGAGCTATACCCGTCCTGAGTGCGGATCCACTCTCCTCGGCCCACTGTCATTTGAACTACGAGCATTTCTATGGGTACCACGGCCCGATTACACACAGAGCAGCGTCTAGCAGGGGCAACGAGACGAAAACCTATATTGTCTGCACCCAAGCGCATGAGACGTACACTGCATCATCGATCCGAGCCTCCAATGGTCCCACCGCATGAGAGCTGAGGACCGACCATGTTGTCGACGCCATCGCAACATCGTGTTCCTTGCCCATCTCTGACCCACTCCTATCATCGCCAGACCTGGCCAAAATTTCCCGGATGTATTCGAGTCGAGAACAATAGGGTGGAATTTGGCGCTGATTGCGAGTAGCACTGCTGTCGTTGCAGTCCGAGGCGGAAGACACATCCGATGGAGAGTGTATATGAGCACATTTAAGTTTGGGTGCCTATCGTATGTTCGAAATTAATCATCAGGACGGAGCTGCCCTGTGAAGAAAAAAACTCGAAGGCCAGCGGTGCCGGTATGAGAAAAATGGCGCGCCAAAATTAGAGCAACAATCAGGGCAATCCAGAGGGTGAACCCCTGTCGCCTCTCCAGAAGTATAATAGCATTCAACATACCCTGTATCTGGAGACAGACTAACATTATGGACCGAGGCATGCGAAAGTAGACGGTGGTTCTGCGCCACGGAGACGGTTACTCACCGAGTCAGGTCTCTCACCGGTGAGTTTCGATGGTTGGCACAGATATCTTTCGGGAGCAGTTTCTTTTATTCGCGCTGATGATTGGCGAATGATGGTCTTGAGCCGGATACATCTCAAGAGCGAAGAATGACACGAACTCGGGCGAAGGTAAGATTGGGCTGTACGGTCTGCAGGAAGGCCCGGGTGGCTGATTATAAGTATCATAAAGCTTTGTGTAACCAGACAATAAGATATTCACAAAACCGAGACAAGCTGAGAATATAGGTGCAGTACTCGAGGAGGATAATGTTGCATGCGGTGAAGGAGATGCGGTGAAGGAAATGCAAAGGAGTGGCGGGAACATGAGAGCCGTACGTTTTTACCACATATCATTCTGCATTTGGGTCTAGTTAGCTTTTTGGCCATGTTTGGGTGAGTTCATGCGCCAACTCACATCATCGATCGAGCTAAAGAATTTGGTGAAGGGCCGTGACTCGCAGACTGCATTCCAGCACTAGTGATCGTTTTCCTGCTTACTTTGCTCTGCATTGGCTGGTTCTTTGGTATCGTGAATATTCGAAACGATCGTCGTCAATATTTGGCGGGTCGCTTCTCTTCATTCTCGGGTTTCGAGACCTTGTAAACTAGTTTCATTTTCTGCACGCTTTTCCGACATGGCCACAAAAGATCCCGCTGCCGCAACTATAGAGCTTGCCCAGGTACGTCCAATAATGTTGACTATGGTATCCATCTATAATTTATGATGTGGATGGGTATAACAGACGGGCAAGCGAGACTTCATTCGAGCTCTCGAGAAAAAGTACCAGGACCGATGGGAGGAGGAAAAGCTCTTCGAAGTCGATGCTCCAACCCAGGAAGAATGCGCCGGCCTCACTCCAGCAGAGATACAGAAAAAGTTTCCGAAATGGTTCGGCAACTTTCCATTCCCCTACATGAACGGTTCTCTGCACCTTGGGCACGCCTTCACCATCTCAAAGATCGAGTTTGCTGCTGGATATCAGAGGATGTTGGGCAAGAGGGTGTTGTTCCCACACGGATTCCACGTCACTGGTATGCCAATCAAGGTGAGTCGCGCTTTATTTCGCGTTAAATGAATGAGCATGGAGTACTAGGAGAGGTTGGGTGACTTGTGGTATTGTGGCGCAATGGTTTTGAGTGTGCCACATTCCAGAAGAATACCTTCTTGCTTCATCAAGCCCTATATATAATGGATTTACGATGGCTCGTTATCTATTTAGGCCTCCTCTGACAAAATCATCCGCGAGTTGGAGATGTTCGGCGACGATTTCGAACGTCACACTCAAGAAACGCAAGAAGAAGCCGCTCCTGCCACATCAACCGACAAAGCCGCGTCCGGTGCACCCGACAAAGCCAAGAAGGGGAAAATCCAGAACAAGAAAACCGGTCATACCTATCAGTTCCAGATCCTCGAATCCATCGGTGTTCCTCGTGAGGAGATCAAGAAGTTCGCAGACCCTTACTACTGGCTCGAGTACTTCCCTCCTATCGCTATGGTGAGCATTTCTTCATCAGTGACCTTGGTGGGCAGGTCGTAAGGTTTTTCGTGATGCTCAATTCGCGGTTGTGGGGGGACTTGGGCAGGCAGATAATCATGCGATCGGCACTCGCGTAGACTGGCGACGAACATTCATGACTACCGATGCCAACCCCTACTTCGACTCCTTCGTCCGATGGCAGGTCAACAAACTCTACGCCCTCGGTAAGATCAAGTTCGGAGAGCGTTATACCATCTACAGTCCCAAGGATGGCCAACCCTGTATGGATCACGATCGGCAACAAGGAGAGGCAATTGGGCCACAGGAGTACACCAATATCAAGATGGAGGTATTGGAGTGGAGTGATGAGTCGAAGAAGGAGATCAAGGGCAAGGTTGGTGGGAGGAAGGTCTATCTTGTGGCGGCTACTCTCAGACCGGAAACTATGTGCGTTGTTTTTAATTCAATCAAGAGCTTCGTAGCAACGGTATTGACGATGACGCAGGTACGGTCAGACGAACTGTTTCGTTGGTACGGGTATCAAGTACGGCGTGTTCGCCGCGAACGAGAAGGAGGCATATGTCTGCACTTACCGCGCGGCTCGCAATATGGCCTTCCAGGGCATCTTTGAAGTCCGAGGCCAGATTAACCAGCTGGCCGAGCTCGAAGGGTCCAAGATCGTCGGTACCAAAATCAGCGCACCCATCTCCACTTACAAGGAGGTGTACGTTCTGCCCATGGACAACGTTCTTGAGACAAAGGTCAATTCTCGTTGAATGATGTCCTTCTGTTCGGAATCTCCATACTAATTTAATCATCTTGTAGGGCACCGGTGTCGTGACTTCCGTCCCCTCCGACTCTCCAGACGACTTCGCCACTCTCACTGACCTCCGCAAAAAGGCCGAGTACTACAAAATCGATCCTAAGTGGGCCGCTTTTGATCCTGTACCCGTACTGTCGACGCCTTCCTATGGCGACATGACCGCACCTTTCCTTGTCAAGAAGCTCAAGATCGCCTCCCAGAAGGACGTCAAGCAGCTCGCTGAGGCTAAGGAGCTCGCGTACAAGGAAGGCTTCTACAATGGTACGATGTTGATCGGCGAGTTCAAAGGACAGAGCGTCCAGGACGCAAAGCCGAAGGTTAGGCAGAGCATGATTGATCAAGGGTTGGCATTTGCGTATGCGGAGCCAGAAGGGTTGATCATCTCGAGGAGTGCGGATGAGTGTGTTGTGGCGCTCATGGACCAGTGGTATTTGGACTATGGAGAAGCGACTTGGAGAACGCAGGCGGAGAGGCTTTTGGCGAAGATGAATACTTGGAATAACGAGACGAGGAATGCCTTTGAGGGTACCCTTGGCTGGCTGAACCAATGGGCTTGTGCGCGGACGTATGGGTTGGGGTCGAAGCTTCCGTGGGATCCTCAGTTCTTGGTGGAGAGTTTGTCCGATTCGACGATTTATATGAGCTACTACACCGTGGCGCATCACCTGCATCGTGTGTTCAGCCTTTCTTTGTATCGCCGCTTCAGAACTCCGCTCACCTTTACTGTTCCTAGGATCGATTGACGGCAAAGTCCGCGGTCCCTTGGACGTTTCTCCCGAACAGCTGACAGATGAAGTATGGGAATACATCTTCTGCAATGGCCCCTGGCCGTCATCCTCTCCTCTCCCCAAAGAGAAAGCCGACACTCTGAAGCACGAGTTCAACTATTTCTATCCCTTCGATGTCCGTTCATCTGGCAAGGACCTTATCAACAACCATCTCACATTCTCCATCTACAACCACGCCGCCATCTTCGGCGAGGAGCACTGGCCGTTGAGCATGAGGACCAATGGCCACTTGATGTTGAACGGAGCGAAGATGTCAAAGAGTACGGGTAACTTCTTGACGATGAGGCAGGGGATGGAGAAGTTTGGAGCGGATGCGACGAGGTTGGCGCTTGCGGATGCGGGCGATGGGATTGAAGATGCGAACTTCGATGAGAAGAATGCGAATGCGATGATCTTGAGGTTGCATACGCTCCTCTTGTGGGCAGATGTATGTTTCTCCGTAACCATTCTTTTTCGAAGAGTCATTTATCGTATGTCCATAGGAAATGGTGAAAGACCAGACCGGTCTTCGTACTGGCCCCAAGAGCTCTTTCCACGACAAGATCTTCGAGGAGGAAATCAACAACCTCATCAACATCACACAATCGCACTACGAGGCGTAAATCTTGTGTCCACTGCCATCCTCCCTGTTTCGTATCTAACATATGGCTTCATTTTATCCAGCACGAACTACAAGGACGCCCTCAAGTACGGCTTCTTTGAGCTTCAGACAGCTCGTGACTGGTACCGCGAAGTTACCGCCGACATCGGCATGCACGCCGACCTCATCACCTACTGGATCCGTATCTCCGCCCTCCTCGTCGCTCCTCTTGCCCCTCACTTCGCCGAACACATCCACTCCACAATTCTCAAGTCTCCAACCTCCGTCCAACGGGCCCTCTGGCCCACCCCGGAGAAAGCACTGGACAAGCCTCTCGTTGAGGCTGGTGCTTACATGCGCGACACCGTCAAGACGATTCGCGACGCTGAGCTCTCGCTGCTCAAGAAGATGGGCAAGGGTAAGCAAGCGTCGTATGATCCGAAGAAGCCAAAAGCGGTGAGGGTGTATGTGGCGACGAAGTTCCCAGAGTGGCAGGATGCTTGTGTGAGTGCGGTCAAGGAGGCTTGGGACGACGAAAAGGAGAAGGTGGACGATGCGAAGGTGAGGTCGATATTGACGGCGAAGGGATTACTCAAGGAAAAGCGTGCCATGCCGTTCGTGCAGCTGTTCAAGGTTCGTTCTGCCCTCTTACGTCCATCTGCCCATCCATCCGTTCTATTTCTACGATTGATCATCCATGAATGATTCCACCTCCATTCCGTCTCGCAGAAACGCATCGCGGACTTTGGCGCCGAAACTGCCTTCAGGCGAGCTCTGCCGTTCTCTGAATCACAGGTCTTGGGCGAACTTCTCCCTTACCTCAAACGCACCCTCAATCTCGTCGATGGCGAGATAATGGCCACCGACGAGGCGCTGTCTAAGGCTGGACAGCCTGGCTTCACCAAGTCGATCATCGAGAGTTCAGAACCAGGTGGACCGGCGTTTGAGTTCAGGAATGTTTAGCCTAGGCGCGCTGCATAGAAGTGTAATGGTATCTTCGTGGCATAGATCAATCGGAGAGGTGTTGGCTTTGCTTTCTGAAGCTTTGTGATGACTGCAGAGAACGTAAAGCGACTCTACTCCGAACTCCGGGTCTTGTATCAAAGATACTACCAGAAACAAGGCGACTTCACAGACATGCTTACAACATCCCTTCCGAGTTCCATCTTTGGCCGTGAGTAGTGGTTTTTGGCCCACGGTGACACCATGCTATCGTGTACGCGAAGTTATGAAGAAGACTCGGAGGGAAGTCGCACTGTCATTGCTAGTTCAGGATGACGCTCTGAATACGAACAGGATCATAGTGTTGCCGGAGGTCACATTCAACACAACCGCTGGACTCACAAGAACAGCTTATAAGCCGTGCGTCGGATGGAATGTCCAGTCAACCACAGAGACCACAGAATGACATCGACCCTTCAAGGCGCCAAGGAGACTGTGAGTACGCTAGCACTCACTACAGAGGAGCCTATCAAGAATACCTTCTCCAAACCGCATCGCATCGACACTCACATCCGTACGTTACGGTCTCTTACTACCAGGACTCTATTCCATATTCTTCCTTTCATCTGGGCACATGTCCTCCATAATTACTGATGTGTTCTTACAGACATTATTCCCCCCTCGTTTGCAAAGGCAGTCTCGGCTAATGGCGGCGACCCCGCTGGCTGGGATCTTCCCACCTGGAATACAGCCGGCACCATTCACGCAATGAACACCCTTGCCATCCAGACTGGTGTCATGTCTGTGACTGCTCCAGGACCTGCGGTCGCTGGCTTTGGGCCAGAAGGGCGAAGACCGAGCGTTTGATTATGTACCACATAGGGCCGAGTCTATATCTAAGTTCTATTACGATGTGGCGCTGAGCACGAGCCCGTCAGTGTTTTTTTTTCTTCCTTCGCGGGGGAGGTTACGCCAAACTTACATGTCGTATAACATCAATAGTATCGCCCTTCAGTCGCTTCTGGAATTCACGACCCCCGACAAAATCCTCTATGGGTCGGACTTTCCCTATGGGCCACTTCCTGTGGGTCTATTCATGACCGCGCAGCTTGACGGTAAGTCGTACTGCGCGTTCAGTCATAATAGAAGCATAGGCTGATGCGATTGTGGTTTTCTTTAAATCTGTGACAGAGTTCATGAGGGAGAGACCCGAAGAGGGAAAGAAATTGGAAGGTTTGAATCGTGAGAACGCGGAGAAGCTGTTCGGAGATAACGTGAAGTGGTAAATTGGAGCCTCGTCGACATAATTGGGGTACCTTGATTGCTTGTACATCTAGTGAATGCTTGGAGGACGACAAAGAAGTTGAACGAGCTGCATAAATGATTGTGGCGCGAGAACAGCTGATAAACACACTGAACGCAGAACAAATTGAAGCTCTGCTGCGCTAGCTTGAATCATACATATGAAGAATTGAGAAGGGTAGCCTGCAACCGTTTAAAACGGCTTTAAAACTGTGATCGGACCAATCGTCGTGTCCCGTTGGGCCTTAGCGAGCTTTAGCGAGGTCAAAAATTCACTCGCAGATACGGTCCATTGAGAAGGGTAGCCTGCAATTGAACGGCAGTCAGAAATCGGCGAAGCAGAGATGATGAATAATTAATTGTTCACTTACTTCCACTATCTTAAATATAGGCTGTAACACAGAAACTCGAGGTACAATAGTTTCGAACATACTATCACCCTCGCCGCCGTTGGCTATATCTCTTCAGAAACAAAGCAAACTCAGATCCCCAATATTCTCATCCCAACTGGGGTCCACCTCCATCCCAATCAACCTCCGGTCATCGACCATAAACCCTGCATGCTCATGCGAGTCCCATAGCTCCGCGCTCACCCAATACGGCAGCTTACTCACCACTGGGCCCGCAAATATCTCGTCCTTCACTGGATCTGAATCCATCACGAGTCTCCCGGGGGCTTTCGCGTGGCGGAACATATGAGAGGAGCCCAATGTCGCGGAAGGGGGATCGGGAGGGGATAGAAGAGTAGAGGGCGCGGAAGAGCTGGGAAGGTGTGAGGTATTGTGAGGAGGATGTGGTGTAGAGTCGGGAGGGTGTGACGTAGAGCTAATTGGAACAGAGGACGCTGTAGCGAAACCCTGTGAAGCCAAACCAATGGGCGGACCCCCAGGGAAGACAGGGAGTCCGAGAAGGTAGGCGAGTGGGGAGGTGGTGGGAGAGTCATCCTCCGGGGCCTCCAAAGGCACAGGCGCGATATAAGGCGCAAGCGTGGCAGGAGCATCTTGATACATCGAATGTGCTGCCTCATTAGGGGGTGGCGCAGAGGTTTTTGGGTCTGCAGGGAGATGTACATTGAAGTCTAGTACTTTGAGCATTCTGCGGGAGCTGGATGGTGGAGATCGACGAAGAGGGAACACGACTCTTGAACCATGGACGTATCTGCGAAGTCGCTGAAGTCAGTGAAGAACGAGCTTACAGCCCAATAGAGGAAGACATACCTCAGCCATCTGTAACTTTCCACGGCCACAAATAATCGTGTGTGCTCGGGACCCCATTCTTCCCAGTTCCATGTCGCCGTCGTCCTGTATACGCCCTGTCGGTCCTCTCTGAGGATCCTCTCGAATATCCTGTTATGTATCACCAGCCTATACAGCGCGGCGAACGACTGGTGTGCCACGTCGGCCGTCAATACATGGACCCGCGACTCCGGTGCTGTATAGAACGGTTCCCACTCATACTCGGAGTTCGGGGGTGAGAGGAAACGGCCGGGGTGTGCGACGAAGGGGCCGGTGTGGGTACTTAGATGGTCAAGGCGGGCGTCGTGTGCGAGCGGCGGTAAGCGGAGTGTGGCAACATGCTCGAGGCCACGATGGGCCTCTGAGATATAGGATGGGGAAGCGTCGGTGATTTTGGAAAGTGGAGTATCGGAGAACTTGTAGAGGTACATCTCGCCACCGCGTTGTATGGTGCTGATACAGAATGCGCGAGGTGAGACAAAAGCAACGTCTTGCGCGTATGGCAAACTGCGACATTCCTGTGGATATCAATCGTGTTAGAGTTAGTATGACATGCTTGTATGCAATAGAGTTCGGTCGAGAGAATATAGAGAAACTTCATCGCTTGTTAATGCGAGATTCAGAGGTGAAGTGAGACGGCGACGTCCTCAGGTATGAACATCGGGCAGATTGGGGGGGAGCAAATATACTACGGCTTCGCTGGTCTAGCAAATGCCCGTTTAATTACCCACTCTCTGTGACCAATGCCATATCCTACAAGCAAACGCCTGTCTCAATAAATCAAGGGACATACGCACCACTAGTTTCTCGCCAGACCTCCAACTCCAAATGAGGACCGTCGGTGTTGGACTCATCGTGAAGACGCCAACGATATCGTCGATGATTTGCAGTGTTGCGTTCGCTGTCGGCGAATTACTGACCCCTCGATGGTAGAGAAATGGCTGCTTCGCCTCGGGATGCCTCTCGTTCGTCAATAACGTCCTCATATGTATCCTCATGTCACCATCCGCGGACGTACTCGAGCCACCCCAGAACGGTCCGAAATCGTGGAACTCGAGCAGCGCGAGTAAGTTTTGAGAGGGGTCAATCGCAAAGTCCTTCGTCGCGACTCCGAGGTCTTTGTGTTCGAAGCGATGTTCGATGGGCTGAGTGCGTGACGGGAGTATGGACGCTGTGAAGTGCTTTGGGGCGCGCGTTCCTCTACGTTCGGTTTTCGCAAAGATACCACCAACAAGCTCGTATGCGTCGCATAGACCGCTCATCTTGATCATACGATGTTTTGACCAGGTAAGATCGCGCCATGCCTTTCGACGTTCCCTGAGAAGCTGAAGCCGGTCTGCAGTGGTGAACAATGACCTCGAAGAGGGTATGTCGATTAATTGATCAAAACCGAGTTCAATCTTGTATTGGAGTTCGAAAGAATCTTTCACGACTGTGTTCAAGTATCTGCAGACCTAATTCCAAAAGTTAAAGGAAGAGTAAGACGCGATGGGAACGATACGGCGCACCCTGCTACAGACAAGAATATCTGGATAGTCGAGCTCGGTCAGTATTGCCACCATGATTTCGAGAGGTAAAGACAATATCGAATCGATCGCCATTGAATCCAGATATCTACAGATGTAAGGAGGACCTGAGGCTGAGTCTCGCGCAGTGAATGGTCGTGAGCATACCAGCAGCTGTCCGGTTTATATAACGCCACAGGAGAGGGTGACATCATCAATTTTCTGCGCTGTAACTGTGGCGAGGTTCGCCTTGTGTGGAAAATTCAATAAGAGTGCTATAGAAGTACTGATGTTACGGTCACTGTTCCCAACTTATGGGGCGGCGTTTGGGCGGCGTTGAAGATGAATGAAATGGGCTTATTGTGTCATACGCGGAAAAGGCATCTGAAAACACTACTTTCGAAGGGGACTCCTGGATGTACAGGCATAAAAAGGTACACATGTTTGTCACAAATCAAGAGAACAGCAGAAGATAACAATTGGTCTGTTTTAGATGAGAAGAAAATCAAGCGTGCACATAGGTATGCGTGAACATGTATTGGCATCACATACTGTGAAAGAATGATTAGCATCGCGCCAAACAGCATAGCATGGATGGATATGCATCATACCGACTTGATGACCTCCGAGTCCGCACTTCGAAGTCCCGAGAGTGACGCAAATGCTCACATATCAGGCTATTACCGCGCCGAGTTCGAGGTCCCTCCCTGAAGGACTAGCGCGAGCAGGGTCTGACACTGGGCAGAGCACGGTAGGCACAATCGTCTGCAACTCCTCGAGGAGACCCGGGTCAACAGTACAGTTACACAAGGAAAGCTTCTGGAGCGCATGTCCTGGATAAATCTGTTTGCGTAATTTCAGTGGTATCAACATTGAGCTGTGTAAGTTCGGAAAAACAAGTGGGTTGTCGAAATTGTGTAGGGTGAGGGTGGTGAGGTTAGGGAGCAGAAGATTCCCGTGGTTTTGGGCTGTGAGAGGACGTGGTTCTAGCTCTGAGAGAGAGTCAGAGAGAAGGATGGGCCACATTAAGCCATAATATGGCAGGAAGCCCTCTGAGATACAGATATGGCGCAGACGAGGCATCCTTTTCAAGAGCGGTACAAGCTTCAACAAATACATATCAATATCCGAGTCTGCCGTAAGATAAACACTCACAATACCGGCGAGCTGGTGTAAAGCTAGTCGAGAAACTGCATCCAACAGATGTGATTGAGATACAGACTTTGCAAGATGTTCGAGGTGATGCATCTCGGGACGCTCGGGAATGCCTCTGCATTGAGGGCCGTATGAATCAGATACATTGAGTATTCTGGACCCGGCTATGGTCAGTGTGGTGAATATACCATCCTCAACCACAATCCACAAGGTCTGTAGCCCTTGTTGTGTTACGGTGATCAAAGATTCAAGGAGCGTGCCGTATACATCCCATTCGTTGGTATGTATGGAGGCGACCGTCGAGTGTATATGTGTTAACGATGGAGAACTAATCTGCAACATTGTGGTGTGACAGATAGATGCTGCGCTTTCCATGATGACCAGAACGGCAAGCTTGGGCAGATGAATAGGCGTAGAAGGGATGGGTGATTTGGAATCATGTTTAATGGCATGACACAGGCACAGTTTGTGTAATCCTGGCATTATTACGAGAAGATCATGTAACTGGGTGTATGTCAGATGAGGAAAGGGGTGAGACAGTGAGAGCAGAGCAAGCTTGGAAAAAACCAGTAAGGGTGGTGGTGGCGCCAAGAAGGTCATCGTCAGTTTTGTTAAACACGGGGCATGGCCAGCGAATATGGTGTTCGGAAGAGGAACCCCCATTAGACCTTATATGTTTCAAGTTTACTTGGAACTCGTTGGCGGAAGATCTGTCCGATCCGCAAATGAGATTTCGCAAAAAGTTCCAAGTTTTCACTAACATATAAGCCCTATTCCCGCGATTTTTAATATGCAGAAAGTTGTCAAGAGTGGGGCTGGGGCAGACAATGCTGTGCCCAGCAGTTCAGAAAGAGGTTCCCCGATGCCACTAATATCAAGTTCTTTGGTTTGGCAAAGACGTTCGAACAGGATCGTTTTTGTTCTGCCCATCTCAGATGGATCGAATGTAGCGCGAATCCGAAGACTGAGAGGAACTGACGACGAGCGAGAAAGCATGGTATCTGCCCATCGTTGGCCCAGCTCGAACGTAGGCTCTCTCCAGAGGGTTGCGTCGTTGATCGCAACCATCCTCCAATGACTGCAGACATGAGTGACCTAAACGATGAGATAGGGATGAAGCATGATGAGGATTTCAGTCACAAGAACCGGCTGCGCTGCGCGACATGGTGTAGCGAGCGGAAGAAGAAGATAAGACTCTAAATTACCTTGATCCAACCAAGTACGTCGTTTCGAATCTCCTCAGAATCATTATAATTGTAGACACTAGTCATGGGTGGACTAATTTCCGACAGAAATACAAAGCAGCGCGTAATAAGCTCGGCCGGGAGTTTGTGGATGGGCGCACAAGTATTTCGGAAAGTCTTAGCTGAGCACAACACCGATTCTATGGACGCGATTTCTTCGTCCCAGGCCCGACGGAAGTTGAGAACAGTGTTCGTCGCATCTGCAGGAGAGACTGAACGTAGGGACTGGGTTCGCTGCTGTAACGTGTTATCCCACCATGCGGCAGAGCTGATGAAAGTGAGAAAAACAAAGCAGTGAGAGTGAGTATGAGGTTCGCGTCTCTGAAATGAGAGGACCGAAGAGTATTATGAGGCACCTTATGCTGTAGTCCCGTTGGGACATCTGATTGATTCCTTTGGCACACTGTGAGCTCTACTGAGAAGTTTATGCTGGTAGATGGTGGTAGTGCGAGTCTTCGTGAACTTCAGCGCGGCGTCAGCAGCTCAGGCGCAAGGGTCGACGCCACAGCAAATAACAGTGACAAACAACGCGTCGCGTCGCGTGTTTCATGATCGTTGAATCGTTGCCACCATATTCCCGCACCTTCACTCCGCTCGGTATCTGTCCTCTTTCCACAGACATAAACCTGTATCGGAGATCGCTCGTGAGCAAACGGGCCCGACAACAATAACATGGAGTCGTCATTCAGCCGGCAGGAAGCTGAAGAACGTCGTCAGGCCGAAATTCGCAGACAGATTGCAAAGCTTCAGGCAGAGCTCGCGGACCCTTCTGCGGCCAGCCAGTCTTCGTCTTCCTACGGGGCAGGAGGGAGTGGCGATCTGAATGGGTCCCCCAAGCGTAAAAAGATGGAAGGAAATTTGTTGGTCCCCAGGAGTCCCTCTCCAAGTAAGCCGCTCAGTCACGGACAGGTCGTCAGGCAGTCCCGCTCACTTCTCACTTCTTACGACTGACGCAATATAACATAATCTATAGAAAAACGAAAAGTTGACGACAGAAGTACGAAGGCTCCGAGTAGGACTTCATCGAGTGCGTCTCGAACAGAGTCACGAACGACTTCACAGACTCAGCCGCCCACCCGCCACAACACCTATTCCTCACGAACTCCCTCCTCGCGAACCCCTTCCAACTCGTCGGTACCACCAAAACCGACCCCTTCAAATCTCCTCAACAAGCTCTCTCAACTGAGTGGCCAGTCACAAAAGGTCGACCCAGCTGAGGTACTCGAGCGATCCACAGCTTTCAATGCCAGGCCTGCGTACGCATTTCTCTATCTGATCTCAATTTCGCCTCTGACTCAACTTTTGTAGCGAAATACCCGCGGATATACCTGTGAAGCCGACGCGAGGCGAAGACCTTACTGTGATTGAAGACCTCGAACCCGGTCCCGTGGAGCACAAACCACCGTTTGACGACCCTCTCTTCGAACGTCTTGAACCTAATTCGGGCATACATTTATCGTAAGTTCGATCTCAACTTTCCGTTGATATGCTTTCTTTCTCAACTCGATGGCGTGAACAGTTCAAGAGAGCTGCCTCACGAGGATCTTCAGGAATACCTGAGTGGTCGCTACTACCTTTCACCTTCGAAACTTTACTCCGTCGTCCGCCTTCTACCCAACAATCAGGGCTACGACGTCCCTGTCGCAGGAGACTTCGTCACCATAGGCGTCGTCGCTGAACGCGGACCGATCAAATATTCTCGCGCACCCGTAGCACTCAACCGTTCGGAGGACCACGATGACAATTCGGACGACGAACAACCGGCGGATCCGAGCGACAAATCCAAGAGTACGTTCAGAGACAAGAAGAAGAACCAAGCGGAGGAAGGACCGCGCAAACCCTCCGGGCGCAAATTCGTCAACCTCAAGCTCATCGATTTCGGTGCACGTTCAAAGGGCTCCGCGACTGGGGGCAAATCCGTAATCCGCGGGGACGCGTTCCTTTCGCTTTTGTTGTTCGAGTCGGAGAGTTACGATGTGATCGAGAAGGATGATGGAGGGAAAGAGAAGGTTTATAAGGGGGGAAGTAAAGGTGCATTTGAGGCGATGGCAAAGTTGAGGGAGGGCAGCGTCGTGGCGCTATTGAACCCTAGAGTTTTGAAGCCGTTCCAGGTATCTCCGTCCCATTTTGCGCGTTATTTTCGGCACGACTTGCGAGACTGACCGGTGGTGAGGGTTGATAGCGTTCAACAGACATCCCACATCCTGTAACCAACATCCTCGCTGTCACTCCTGAATCAGCGTCGTCCATAGCGATAATTGGCCGTGCGCGGGATTTGGGGATGTGTACCATCCAACGGCGAGACGGCAAGGTCTGCGGTAGTTGGTACGACAAGCGCGTGAGCCAAGTCTGTGAATACCATGTCCAGAACGCCGTACAGCAGCGTAGGGCTGGACGCGCAGAATTTGCCATGGGGTACGTTCTCCTCGCCTTTCTCTTCGCTAAACTATGTTTAAAATTTATTCTCTTACAGAACCTCAGGCATGTCTGCTACCGCTATCAAACGTAAACCCGACTACGACCCTATGCGCAAATACGGCCTCCTCCCGGACCCCTCCAAACCTTCCATGACCGATGGTGGTGATGCCACCTACGTCGTGTCAGGGCATGTCGTTTCCAGCGGGAAAGCGACCAGCGGGATGTTTATGGGCGAGAAGGTTGGGAGGGAGGCTCAGTCGAAGGCGCAGAGACAGGCCAAGGAGAGGGCTACCGAGAAGTCGTTGCAAAAGTTGCTGGACAGGGATAGAGAGGGGATGTCGGTAGTCAGGAAGGCGAGAGAGGTCGCGCTGAAGATCAGGGAGGAGAAAGGCGATGGGAAGTCGGAGAAGAAGGGGGGCCAAAAGGGGAAGCCTGCTCCAAAGGAGAACGAGAACGGGAAGACGAGTAGCAAAAGGAAGAGTCGCGATGGAGAGGATGCGGAAGATGGGCTTGAGCACGACACCGAGCAGAATCGACCTCAGAGGAGTGCGTATTCGGCGGAGATCATCAGGAGGCTTGGGTTCGATCCGACGCTGAAACCTGGTGAGCGGCGACAAGAGTCTGACATGTCGAGTCAGGTTCGTAATCGCTCTGCCTGCCTATTGCACTCCTACTAAATGTCTCGTACATTCACTTCAGCTCCGTGAACTTGCGGCCAAGCGAGCTTCCAAGGAGATCGACCTCGGTCGTAGGCCCGGTAAACGAATACGTTCCGTGGTTGCCCCATCTTCCGCCACTAAAGCCACCACTGTACCACAAGCGAAACTTGTGGACCTCAATGATGATGACGACGACGAAGAGCTAGAGGAGCAGGAGAAGGCCGTGTTTGGTAAGGTGTTGAATGGTGATAGGAAAGGTATGGTCAGTCTGGATTCGGACAGTGACTCGGATGATGATCTGGTGGTAGTGCCACCGGTGCCAGTGGATGCTGCATGATGCATAATGGACTCGGAATGTGTCGTTTGCATCATATGTATCATATAATCATTCATCGCAATCATTACGCTCTTGCGAACAACACTCATCGTTCCAGGTTACGCGGTCAGTACACGCGTCGTGAACGCGTACCCCCTCAGCAAACGACATATAAACCTAGACTAACTAGCGTCCAGTTGTGTAACCCCTTCCAACCATGTCTCGCACAGATCCTACCACAAATACCGAGAAATTGGAGGTCAACATCGACAAGGATGAACGCGTCGAGGATGCGCCACCGCCACCAACCTTCCAGAACAACGATCCCCACGTGGCGCCACCGTTCATATCCTCCTTGAACCCGCTCGCCTTTCCTTGGCCACCCAACGCCTCCACTGACATCCCATTCTCTCCATTCACCGAGCTTCTTTCTCTTCTCTCAGTCGGTTTCATTAAAATAATGGCAGCTACACCACAACCCGAAGAGCAACCGGCTGCGCGTACGTTATCCATCCACCTACTTGCTGTCCGTCCTCAGGGGTAACTGTACGCAAGCTGACTTGTGGCGCCGATCGTTACTGTTCTATAATTTTAAAGCTCGTCTTGCACCCGGAGGGCTACCTGAACTTGACTCTGGGAGCGTCACTCCGAGTGCCAATGCACCTCCCGCACCAGTCGAGATCAACGAGAATACTTGTGCGTTGATTCGTGTGGCGCATACTTGCCTGTCAGACTTGACAACTGATCCATCGCTGCTTCAAGCTCTTGAAGATCTCACTCCGTCACAAATCTACCAGCTCAACCAAGTACTTACCATTACATTTCCTCAAGCGAATAAAACATCTCATACAATATATGGCTAACGTTGTTGTCCGATAAACCTGTGTGGCGCAGGACGCACTAGACAACGCTTCCTCGACCAACAGGCCGCTCATCGCATCTGTAGCACCGATGGACGTCCTACGCGCAGAGTACGAGAACGGGTCCCAATCATTCGTGAAACAGATAGACTTCTTGAAAGGTCATGGGTATGCTGGAATACGCAGAACGCGCGGCGACGGAGACTGTTTCTATCGATGTGCGTTCCATCTCTGTGCTTCGAGTCCCCGCCACCCGTCACATATTCCTTCCCACAACCCACAATCGTCACACACCACATCCCTTCTGTTTTCCTGGATTGTCCATGTTTACGACCAACAGAACCTACTTGTCCCCCCACGAATTCAACAGCCCTCGCGTTCGCCTACATCGAACGTATCCTCACCTCAGAGGACCTCTCCCTCGCCGTTATGACCGCCATCTCCACCCTCGACTCCACCCTGCCCATGCTAGACGCGGCCGGATTCGAAAAGATAGTCTACGAGGATTTCTACGACGTCTTTGTCGGGCTGATCAGGTCGATTGGAGAGCCCGATGCGAATGGGAAGGTGTTGACTCCTGAGGGCTTGTTGGAGGCGTTTCAGGATAGTGAAGGTAAGATTATCTACTACACATTTTGCTATCTCTGCATTACGACAGTTCGTGGACTGATTGAATGTGGCGATAGTGTCGAACTCTGTGGTGGTCTACCTCCGCCTACTCACATCTGCTCAAATCCGTTACGATCCGGATTCGTATGAGCCTTTTCTGTTCCATCCTGAACTCGGATATCAGATGAAACCGATAGAGTTCTGCAATACTCAGGTCGAGGCGACGGGCAAGGAGGCTGGTATGTCCCCTCTCCTTCTACATTCATTTATGGAGGGTGATTTATTCTATTGTGATGTGCTTTCTCTGCTGTTGGGCAGATCACGTCCAAGTAACAGCTCTCTCCCGTGTCCTGCGGATCAACGTCCGAGTAGCATACCTCGACGGACGAAACCCAGATGGGAAAGTCGATTTTGTCGAGTTTATCAATAACGAGACGGACGTGTTTGGATCGGATCCGTTGGTTTTGCTGTACAGGTTCGTCTTCTACCAACTATACAGTCGCATAAACTGATGTGCTCTGTCAGGCCGGGTCACTACGATATCTTGGATAAGAGAGACATCGAGGCGTTGGGGCTGGGGTTGCCGCTGGGAAGATAGGGATAATTGGGAGTATCGAATAAGGGCGTATGTGATCTAGAAATCGCGCACTGCGAAGGACATACCTTAGACATGAAGCAGTTTTGAAATCGATTTCTGTACAACGTGCTTGTACCTACTATGCCTAACATTCTTGCCCAGGGTACAGACCCAACCGATGAGTAGATCTCTCAGCTCTCAGAGAATAGATCCCACACGAGGGCTGAAGTGCCGAACATCAGCATGCCCAGGCCACCTCCCATTCACGCCAACGCCACCCGTTTCCTCCAAGCGATACCTGTGCATCCACACCCGCCCCCCACACAAAACCTCTTCTTCCGCCGTCGCATCCCTCCGGACGTTATAGCCAAACGGTGACTGAGGTCGCTGCAAGCAGACAATTTCCTCGCCTTTTACTAGGAAATTCCGTGTTGCGGCCTCATTCCAAAGTCACCTTGCGAATTTTTCAGACCTCAGCTCGTTCTGGGAATCTTGTTCACTTTATTTCTTGCTCTTTGTTTTCTTTTTTCTATCTCTTGTTCTTTTTTCTATCCCTTCTGATGGTGCACTGCTCGTGTACTTTGGGATCTTCTGGAACGTGGTGCTGTATCAGAACTGGTGATTCGCTATGGGAATGTACTCGAAAAAATGATATTTTGTTTTGATCTTGCGAACATGCATGCGGCATATGATTTCCAGTAGACGGGTGGCGAGAGTCAGTACCAGAGTGGCTCGATGTCTTTTCTTTCTTGACCGCCACCTCCTCCGAGTCATCCTTCCCTCAAGTAGGGTCCCGTCACCTCTAGGCAGCACAACTCACCCTAGTGCATGCCCATTGCACCCTCTCTTCTCCGCCTTCGCCTCCAATCTGGCATCTCTACTACACCCAAAAGCTCTGTACATATCATAACCGGAGGCATCGCTAGTCCTTCACGTCCCCATCTCAGTCGACCACTTCGACTCTATCTTCGCGCAATGTCATCCCAAGCACCATCTGTCACTCAGCCAATACCACCTACTCAAAATTATGACTCGTGGTCTAGAGAAGAGCTCATCGCACGTTTGAACGAGCTCGAAACTCAGGCGCAGGCGCACACGCCACAGAATACTACTACCTCGGACCCTCACAAACCTTTACCTCCGCCTGAGCATCCCTCTTCCCATTCTACTCATCCTCCACCCCGTCCCTCTCACACTCACCCCCCAATTCCCGTCGCTGGCCCCATCCCCGCCTCCACCTCCACACCACCCAACCCCCCTCCCCCCACCAACCAACCCCCCAAAAAATTCTCATTCACCTCCCACCCCACCCTCAAAATCGCCCTCAAATTCTCCTACCACGGCGCCCCCTACAACGGCCTCGCCTACCAACTCACACCCACGCCCCTCCCCACAGTCGAACAGGTCCTCTTCGACGCGCTCGCGAAGGCGAAACTGGTCGATGGGGAGATGGGGTTCGAAGGGTGTGGGTGGGAGAGGTGTGGGAGGACGGATAGGGGGGTTAGTGCGGCGGGGCAGGTGGTTAGTGTTTGGGTTAGGGCGGGGAGGGCTGTGGGTGGGGAGGGAGGAGAGGGAGAGGGAGTGGTTATGGGGAGGGAGGCGGTGGAGGATGGGAATGTGAAGGGGAGGGAGGGGGGTGATGGAGGTGTGTTGGAAGGTGTAGAGGGCTCGAATTCGACAGGCACTCTACAAGCAGGAACTACGTCTACGTCTACGCACTCCGTACCCGTAAAGCCACTACGCTACATGAAGACATTGAATCGGCTGCTTCCGCCTACGATCCGGGTGCATGCCTGGTCGCCCGTCGATGCGGATTTTTCTTCGAGGTTTAATTGCCAGTATAGACACTACAAATACTTCTTCACGAACTCGTCCTTCGACATCTTTCCCTCTGCTTCCTCCTCATCCTCCTCATCTGCACCCACACCCGGCCCCTCACCCCCACCCACACCCGCAAATCCAACCATGAACGAAGCCCCAGTCCCGCACGGCGTCGAGCTCGACATCGCTCGGATGCAAGAAGCCGCCGCACGACTCGTGGGCACGCACGATTTCAGGAACCTGTGTAAACTGGACGCGGGAAAACAGATCGAGGTGTTTGAGCGTACGATCTTGAGCGCTACCGTCTCTTCGCTCTCGTCTGCTCTCACTTCGTCGCCTGCTCCTCCATCGTCCTCCTCCTCCTCCTCCTCCTCCTCCTCTTCTTCATCCCCTCCAACTCCTCCAACTCCTCCAGCTTCAGTGGCGGTGGGCCCAGCTTCAGTGGCGGTGGGCCCAGCTTCAGCAGCTGTAGGAACCGGGAACGGACTGGGAATGTACGTCTTCGACCTCGTCGGGACTGCGTTCCTGTATCATCAAGTCCGCCATATTATGGCCATTCTGTTCCTCGTCGGTACAGGCCTCGAGTCACCGGCGCTCGTCACTCGTCTGTTGCATGCTACGCCTGAGTCCCCGGATGCGGATGCGGTGGCTGCGATGGCGGGGGCGAGAGCAGGAGCAGTGGAAGGAGCAGGGGAGGGAGCAGGGGCAGGAGGAGGAAGAGGAGGAGGATGGGAGGTCGTGGATCGGAAGCCGGAGTATCAGATGGCGGACGGCCTACCGTTGATGCTATGGGATTGTGCGTTCAAAGACGGGGATGTGAAGTGGAGGACGGACGACGATGATCGATCATTGCTCGTTCAAAGTGGTAAAGCGGGCAAGAATGGAGGAAAGAAAGAGAAGGGAGGAGGAGGAAAGAAAGAGAAGGAAGAGGAGGACGCGCATGGGCTGCATGGGCAGATGGCGGCGGTACTCGAGAGGTCGGTCGTCAATACGACGTTGGAGGCGCATTTTTTGCTTGCTGCGATGCGATTTCCGTTTAATCGGCCTGGGGCGAGTCCGTTCCCTCTCGACTTGCATGGCGAGGAAGTGAAAGAGAGGGTGAAGAGGATGGGAGAGGAGGGTGTGATGATGAATATTCCGTTGGGTGGAGGGACGTATAAGAGGGTGGGGAAGTACGTGCCGGTGTTGGAGAGGAATAGGTTGGATAGTGTGGAGGTTGCGAATGAGAGGTGGAGGGTCGGGAAGGGGATGAGGAGGATGGAGAGGAGGAGGGCTGGTGTGGCGGAGGATGAGGGTGGCGAGGAATAGGGGTAAACTGTCATGGAGGATCGGCCTTCGAAAGATGGGCTTCCATCGCGAGAATTATGATGATAGGTTTGAGCTCTTGCCATCCTTCATCGACGCCTCTCTGACCGTCCCTGTATTTCACAGCTTGGAGCATGGCAGGTTATAAAACGCGACGCTCGCCACACCGTCCCTCATACCGGTGCCCTCGGCTTTATAGTACCCATCCCACCGCCTGCAATCGCAGCTGTATATCGTGTCGCCATCTGCTCTATCCCTCAAATCATCACGCACGAGGCAGGCTAAGAAACTCTCACAGCTCAGAGGGCGGTGGTCTGATAGGCTGTTGGACGCGAAAGAACCGAGATCATACGGGCGGAAGATTTCATAGAGCTGCTTACAACGGCCGTGCTGCTGGCCCTGCAGCTCTGGCAAGTGACTGCTGGTGATTCTGCGCGGCAGGTCGCGCGATAGAATACGATAAGCGGGGGCCCCAAATGCGAAACTTGGCGCGCGTCCTATCTCCCATTTGTACCCGGGGCTCGAATGCGAAGGGACATTATTTTCCAGCTTACAAACAATACAAGAGGACGTGCAAGAGCGAGTGCGAGTACTTACAGCGACGACCCGAGCAGAGTTGCGAGTTGTGGCGCCCCCGGCCCAGCCGGCGTGGGACGGACCGTGCAAGGGGAGGGCACGGAAGGAGAGCCGGCCGCACAGGCTCACGTCATCGGCGTTCGGCGTTGGATGACGCGTGTTGAGCGGTGGCCCGTGCGCGGCGTGCGCCGGTTGATTTCGCACGGTCCGACGCCCAGCCAAAACTGGCGGGGGGCGCTCCCAGCCCAGCTCAGCCACCCCAGCAAGCCTTACCGCCAGCCAGCCAACGCCTGCCACCTCCCCTAGCAGTGTGAGCCTTTTCCCTGCCAGGCCCTCTACTACTGCACTTTGCTTTTTCGTCTGCTCCCTCGTCGTCCCCCATAACAAAGCTTTATATACGACACCCACAAGGTCAGTACGCTCTCTGTTGTCGTCGTGCGCGTCGTGGTCGTCGTGCGGCTCGATGGCGAGCGAGTTGGGCTCTCCAGGCGTGGGCTGCTGTGGCTGGCGCGCGCCGGTATGTGCAGCGGCTTCAGGTCGTGTCTGCGATCTCGGCGGGGCGTTGCTCGTTGTGAAGATACGTGTTCGACGTGTCGTTGGGGTTCGTTATCGATAAGAGACGGTCGTCGGCCGTCGTTCGTCGCGTCCTACGGGCGATGTCGAACCTGTCACTTGCTTGCGCCCGCTCTTGTGGACGCATATATCCGCACTGGGTTGTGCGTTGTTGGGGAATGTGTTGAATGGCCTTGGGATGCGTTGGGGATGTGTTGCTGATCGATGGGGCGTCGAGGGGGTTCTTTGTTCGAGTTTTGAACTTTGTTTTTTTTTGTTGAGGGGGTGGGGGTGCGATGTATGCGCATACATGCGGGTTGGATTGTGTTTGCTCGGTTTTCTTTGCTACTGTCGTCGTCGACCATGTTGGGGACGTCGTCTCCGCTCGTCTGTGTCGTTGTCGCTGTCGTCATCGCTGTTGATGACGATGAGCACGCGATGGGCGCATATATCGTGCTTTTGTGGTGAATAGATGTACTAATGCATTTTTGTTTGTGTTCGTTCGTGTCTTTAGATGCCTAAAGACGCTACCAAATCCAAGGTATGTCTTCGTCGTGCATATATCCACCTTTTCCTCCGTCTCTTTGTCTCTCCGTCACCCTTCCTCCAATCCCTATTCCTCCACACACCCTCGTCGTCATTGTCCACCCTCACTCTCGTCGTTCCCGTCGCTCATCACGCATTGTTCTTTCTGTCACAGGAACGCAAGACGGCCACTAAGGCTAGCTCGAAGCCCCGCGCAACAAAGGCAAAGAAGGACAAGAACGCACCAAAGAGGGCGTTGTCCGCGTACATGTTCTTCAGCCAGGACTGGAGAGAGAGGATCAAGGCTGAGAACCCGGACGCTTCGTTCGGTTAGTCGTCTCCCTCACCTTCACATTCGTCACTGTACGCGTCCTGGATGCTGACTCTTTCTCGCTTTTGTGTTTGTGTGTGTGTGTGTGTGTGTGTCGCAGGTGAGGTCGGCAAGCTTTTGGGCGCAAAGTGGAAGGAACTCGATGAGTCTGAGAAGAAGCCTTATGTCGAGCAGGCCGCGCAAGATAAACTGCGCGCAGAGCAGGAGAAGGCAGAATACGATGTATGTCTCTTGTCTCTCACGTCCGTCCTCGTCATGAGCATTTTGGTTTTCTGACAGTCGTGGCATGATACAGGGCAAGAAGGCGAGTCCCGACGAGGACGACGAGGAGTAGATCTCCTTCGCACTCGCAGCGTATTCATCCCATCATCCCCATTTGACCGTCACTCGCCTTCATCTGTGGTTTCATCTCTCTCGTCTCGTCTCTCGCCTCGCGTCTCACTACTCTCACTTCACCTTCACACTGTGTTTATATTCTCATTTTGCACCTCTACCCACCCTTCCTTCCGTACATATAACATAACGACGACCCCTCCACCCCCCTTATTCCGATCCGTTTCCCATTGCGCGTTTCGTTTGATGTGTCTGTGAGGCCTCTCTGTTATAACTCCTCTTTTTCGTGATTGTGATCGTGATCGTTTGTGTCTTTGAGTGTTCGGTTTGTGTAACTTATGTCGTTGCGAACTTGCACGTACCTACCCCCAGCCCTGTGTTAGTGTTCGGTGTTCGGTGTTCGGTGTTCGGTTGTGTTTTATGTCTATCTCTGTTCTGTGTTTGGGATTGCTGTCTTGGACGGTCGTGTGCGTGTGTGGAACGACAATAAGACTGGAGACGGCGACCTGTCGTGGCGAGTTGTATGTGCCCGAGAATGGATGTGAGTGTTAGTTGGGTGTGGATCTCGTCATGTAGGGAGGTGCCCTAGTTTGTTGTAAACCATCGCAGGTGGACCTACAAAATAGTCTGACAGCTGCGCGAGTACACTGCAATCTACAGACTGTATAGGAGGGCCACCGCCACAGGACGATGAGATCATCGTGGGGTTACGGCATCGCCTCTGTCTCTTGACATCGCTTCGCTTGTCGACCTCTCCATCGGCGCCTGCTCCTCTTTCTACTTATCGATCCTGCACAACACCTTGAGTAGAGAAAGAACGCATTAGAACGTATCACAAGAGGTCGGTCTGATTCTAGAATGGGCTGTTGAGAGTTGAGAGTCGCTGACCTGACTACGTTTTATTGCATTGCATTCCAATTTCCGTGGCACCACCACCCCGTCGCCTCCGTCTCCGTCCCCTCAATTATAATTGAATCCGACACCGGTCACCTCTGTCGCTGGCACGGTCGCCCCGAAACGCAAACGATCGCCGGCTTTTCTTGCATCGTTCAACGTTCTTTGCGCTGTCCAACACAGTCATTTGTCTGTCGAGCACTCAGCACACCCGCGACGCGCCACTTTCAGTTGCACCACTTTGTGAGATAGAGCTTGATTTGGACGGGATTAGAGTCGTATTGAGTGCGTTTCTTCTCCTGTTCCCGGCGTTCGTGAATCGTTGAATCGAGAGGTGTTGCGCAGTTTACTGATTTTGTTGCCTTATTCGCGTCCTCGCACCCTCCCTCCCTCCGACGCTTCCTCCCTCCGCCTCCGCCTCATACCTCATAGGCATCTCATAACCTACACCACAACACACACGCACCACAGCACACCACAACACAACACAAACCACCACACAGCACACACCTTCCCGCCTTTCTCAAGGACCAACCAACCTTCCAATACGCGCCTCTTTCACCCCAAGCAGAACAAGAACAAGATGACGGACACGCCGAGTAACGAGCAGGTTGGCGAGGCAAGTTATCGTTCTTCTCCTATCTGCCTCTTGTGTGATGCATTGGAGAGAACGCTGATCTTGTGTTCGTTTCGGTTTTCGGTTTCGGTTGATTGGATGTGTCCTGGATGTGTGGGTGCGGCGATGCGGCGATATGGGCATCATTGGTCCTGGATGTTCGTTGCGTCGGTCGGGTCGTTGGATGGTTGGTTGGTGTTGGTGTCGTCGTTGGTGTTATTGTCGGGACGTGTAGGCCGTGCCCTCCGCACAACGTAGCAGCTGGACGTCGTTCCTCAAGTCGTACGTCCCCCTCCCTTCTCCCTCCTCCATCCCAATCACACCATAGCATCGTGCTGACCGCCGCCGTGTTTTCTTTTTCTCTGTGTTGGGTTGTACGCTGCTCGATATGGTGTGTCGGACGAACGTGTGTGTGGATGTGTGGTTGTGGATGTGGATGCAGAATCGCCTCGTTCTCTGGCGATCTTTCGTCGATGACCGCACCGCCGTTCATCCTCTCCCCGGTATCGCTCACCGAGTTTCCTGGTACGTACTCCTTGTGCTCTACTCCCTGTTCACGTACACCTCATACATTCGATTGATCGTGCACTTACTCATCCTCTACTCTGTTTGATTTTTCTTCATTCTCTGCTATGTTATGCTATTGCACCGCCTCGCTCGCCGTCCATACTCGGCCGCTCTACCGTCATTTCCCATCTCCAACTCCAACATCAACTCCAACTCCTACTCCTACTCCTACTGCAACTGCAACTCCATCGCCATTACCAACACGCCACCGACACGTCGACGCCACCTACGCATCCACGAACAACGAACCCCTTATGGCGACCCCCGACCCTATGGATGAACTCCGAATTCGAATTTTGAATGATGCGGATATAATGCGAACTCATTCGTCTGATTCGCTCGTCGTTCAAACTCGAATATCGCCGTCGTCGCGTCGCTCTAACTCGAATATTGCCGTGGTCGCGTCGCTCTCTACGCTGCTTCCTATGTTTGGCGCGCTGGTACTACTGATGTGATATGATTTACGGTATTGTTGCGACGTACAGCGTACTGGTGCGAGCGTCCAGAGTTGTTCGCAGCGATCGCGGACGGCAAGACGCCGGAGGAGAGACATCTCGCTGTTCTCAAGTGGTTCATCGTGCGTTTTCTTTTCCCTACCCTCCCTTGTACCTGTTCCTCTTTTTATGTGGTCTGAGTAGACGGAGGCGGCTGACTCTTTTGTGCTCTTACCGATATAGAGCACGCTGAAGGGACAGTATACGTCCCGGAATGAGTCCATGGGGTCTGAGAAGAAGTGAGTATGAGTTGTTACTCTTGCGGATCCGGACGCGTTCGTAGCAGCTGATCGACTTTGCTCTTTTTGTGTTTTTTGTTAGGCCATTGAACCCCGTCCTTGGCGAGTACGTATATTTCTTTCTCCCGCGCACCATTGCCCTCGAATATAACTTCCTATCACCCCCACCCTCTAATATTCCATCACGAGCTGACCCGTCCCTCCACTCTTCCCTTCTTCCCCATCATCATCATACACAGGCTCTTCTACGGCTACTGGCCAGACACGAACGGCCGAGGACAGACGAACCTCGTCGTCGAGCAGGTGTCCCATCACCCGCCCATCACGGCGTATTATATTTCGAACCCGAGTAAGGGGTTGGCGTTGCAGGGACATAATGCGCAGAAGACGAGTTTCTCGGGTGCGTTTTCGTCCTTGTCCAATTCCACTGTCTTGCCACCCCATGCACTCGCCAAAGTGAGGAGCGAGGAGCGAGGAGCGAGGCGTGAGTTGCGAGGAGCGAGGTGTGAGGAGCAAGGAGTGAGACGAGAGGACTGAAGTCACAATACTAACGGTAAAAATGATCTCAGGCGGATCCATCATCGTGAAACAAATCGGGCACGCCTCGCTCACGGTCGACCTCCCGGACGGGAACAAGGAAGAGTATATCATTACGCTGCCCAGGCTCAGGATCGACGGGCTTTGGTATGGGAGTCCGTATATCGAGCTTGCGGAGACGAGCTGGATCTCGAGTTCGAGTGGGTGGTTGAGCACTGTGCGTCTTTCATCCCCCCTGCCCTGGTTCTCTGCCCCAACCTCTCCTCGTTGCACCCTTGAGACGAGATGAGTTGCATGCTGACTTTTTTGTTCGCGCGCCGGGATAGATCGAGTACAAAGGCAAGGGCTACTTCTCCGGCAAGACGCACTCGTTCAAGGCGACGGTGACGGCGCAGAACGGGGCGCAGGTGCATGTGATCGAGGGGCAGTGGCACACGACGAGCAAGTCGACGAAGTCGAGCGCTAATTTTACGGATGTGACGGGGCCGAAGGAGGAGGTTACGGTCAGTTTACCTTTCTTTCCTCTTTTTCAGTGGGTTTTACACTGGCCTTTTTTTGTGTTTGACCTCCTGGGGCGTAATTGCGACGCACCGGCCCTTTCGCATCCAACCCATACGTGGTGCTGATGGTTGGTTTACGATTTGCGTTATAGGTCCAGCCAATAGATGCGCAGGACGAGTGGGAGAGCAGGAAGCTTTGGGGGAAAGTCGCGGCGGGGATCAGGGGTGGCGATTTCGAGACGGCGAGCAGGGAGAAGAGCAAGATTGAGGTGCGTTTTCGTCTCCCGTTCCTTTTCCTTTACCCGGTTGAGATCACGAGGCTGATTTACTCGAACATTTCCCTTTTTGTGCTGGATTGCGTCTGGACTTGGTTGGGTGCTGCAGAATGAGCAGAGGCAGAGGAGGAAGGACGAGGTGGCGGCGGGGACGAAGTGGGAGTTGAAACATTTCGTGCATGTGGATGAGGATCCGCTTTGTGAGTCTCTTTCTCTTGTACTCTATTCTCCATCTGATTTGATTAATACTGATGACCATGCGATAGACGAACGCCTGGGCAAGGCGTTCAAAGCATCCCCGCCTACCGAGGACATGTACGTCTTCCAGAACAACGCGCCCACGTTCGGTCCTTCTGCTTCTTCCGCCTGAGGATAGCCCAGCTTGCCTGTGCCCAAGCTACCAGCGTGTGTGGAAGGAAGGAGGACTTCCGTTAGCTTTTTTCTGTGACTGTCTGTCTGTCTCTCCATAATCACATCTGTTTCTCTTCTTTGTTTCTACCAACTTCCGTTGATTCCCGATTCCCGTCCACACTTTATTTTCGATCCATGTACGAACCCAAACCCGAACCCGTACGTTTTCGATCTTATCCATCCTACATACAACCCAACCCAATCCAATCCGAACGATGCAATACGTACTTTACGAGAAGTGGACTTTTTTTATTGCGAATGATCGATTGTTCATTGACGTGACTGGAATGATTGGAAAGAATTCTCGTGGGGTGAGGGAAAGGGAATTGGTTTTGGTTCTGCCGAAGGCGTCTTGGTCGGTCTCCCTATACAGGCAGAAGTAGGAACTGCTGCTAGCATTGAGGAACGTAGCACCCTGACCATATTCTCTTTGAGTTTGGTCTGGTGATGGAGTCAGGGGGTACGACCGTACGCCTGCGGTAAAATTTTGGAAATAAGACATGTTGATGGTAGAAAATATGATCAACGACTCGTGAGAAGTAACAAAGGCTCAAACAAGAGAGGCTTTGTACGATGACCTCCACAAACCGGGACGTGGGAACAATGCGGAGCGGAACGTCGAGGATCGACAAAGGGGTAACTTTGATAAGATTAGATTGTGGTTAGTCATCCTAGATCCGCGCTTTGCTTGGAATTTACAAGTACGTTTTCTGCTCTTTAACATCCATCGCGCGGGTATGTTTCTTGGGTATCTCCTAGTATTCACCTAAAATATCTATACCAGGATAATGGAGGAGGATGCGGAAGAGTCCCAGTGGGACCAGCTCAATCGCACAGAGTGGCGAGGATTGGGACTTACCGATCCAATAAAGAGCATCGAGGTGCGTCCGTCAGCCATGCCAATCTGTTCATGGTTAACCTTGCGCGAAAATACAGGACAAATGGCTACTCTTGCCTGCTTTTCTCAAGGTGAAAGGCTTGGTCAAGCAGCATATTGACTCGTTCAACTATTTCGTCGACGTCGACATCAAGAACATTCTAAAGGCAAACAACAAGGTCACCTCTGATGTCGACCCTCGCTTTTGGCTAAAATACACGGATATTCGCGTTGGGTTTCCCGACCGTACGGACGCGGACGCGATAGACAAGAGTGTTACCCCGAACGAATGCCGTCTCCGCGACACTACATATAGCGCACCCATCGTCGTCACAATCCAATACACTCGCGGAAAAAACGTCGTTCGCAGGCCCAATGTCAACATCGGCAGACTACCCATCATGTTGCGAAGCAACAAGTGCGTTCTCACCGGCCGCTCGGAAGCGCAGCTTGCTCGTATGATTGAGTGCCCACTGGACCCTGGAGGATACTTCGTGGTCAAGGGGACGGAAAAGGTCATTTTGGTCCAGGAGCAGTTGAGCAAGAATCGTATCATCGTCGAGACGGACCCTGTGAAAGGTGTCGTCCAGGCTTCTTGTACTTCGTGTGTATACTCTCGTCTTCTTCGCACCGTGGCGAGATCACTGAGATTGACTCTTAGGTCCACACATGGAGGTCTCAAGTCAAAAACCTACGTCGCAACTAAGAAGGGAAAGATCTATCTCCGGCACAACTCAATTCACGAAGACGTTCCCATCGTCATTGCCCTCAAAGCCCTCGGCATTCAATCTGACAAGGAAATCCTCCTTCTCACCGCCGGTAACTCGGAAGCGTACAAGGATTCGTTCGCCCCAAACCTCGAGGACGCCGCCAGATTGGGGATCTTCACAAGACACCAGGCCTTGGAATGGATAGGAAGTCGAGTCAAGATCAATCGACGGATCGTTGGTGTGCGAAGGCCAGCGTGGGAGGAGGCTCTTGAGGCACTGGCTACCATCGTCTTGGCTCATGTGCCCGTCGTTGGGATGGACTTCCGTTCGAAGGCCATCTTTGTGGCGACTATGACTCGACGAGTCCTGATGGCCGTGAAAGACGAGAAGATGGTGGACGATAGGGACTATGTTGGAAACAAACGATTGGAATTGTAGGTCCTGCGCCACAATCTCTGCAATGTGGCGCTCAATTACTTTTGGCCAGGGCAGGACAGTTATTGGCGTTGTTATTTGAAGACCTCTTCAAGACATTCAACACGAACCTCAAATCCTCAATCGACAAGGTGCTCAAGAAACCGTCGCGGACGACGGAGTTCGACGCCTTCAACACCATGCAGTTCCAGGGCGATCACATCACTTCCGGTTTCGTTCGCGCCATCTCGACGGGCAACTGGTCTTTGAAGCGTTTCCGCATGGACCGTGCTGGGGTCACGCATGTCCTCTCGCGTCTCAGCTTTATTTCCGCCCTAGGCATGATGACTCGTATATCATCTCAATTCGAGAAGACACGGAAAGTCAGTGGACCCCGTGCTCTGCAGCCGAGTCAATGGGGTATGCTTTGCCCGAGTGATACCCCGGAAGGAGAGGCTTGCGGTCTGGTCAAGAACTTGGCGCTCATGACCCATATCACGACCGACGTCGACGAAGAGCCCATTATCAAGGTTGCGTACATGCTCGGGGTCGAGAGTATGTGTTTCATGTCGAGTTCTTAAGTCCTTCCGGGGATGTTAGACTGTGTGACTGATCGTCCGCTCCATTTTCAGACATCGGCCAGTCCACCGGGACGGAGATCTATGGTCCGAACACCTTTGTAGTCAACGTAAACGGGACAATCATAGGTCTTACCCGCTTTCCGACTCGATTTGTCCACAACTTCCGTCGTCTTAGGCGCGCTGGGCGGGTCAGTGAGTTTGTGAGCGTTTATATCAATCACCACCACCACACAGTGAATATCGCCAGCGATGGCGGTCGAATTTGTAGACCCATGATCATCGTCGATAACGGACGTCCCATGGTCACTTCGGAACATGTCTCGGTGCGTTTTATTTATGATTTGTCCGTCCCAGCTCTTATCTTTATGCTTCCCTCTGCAGCTCTTGAAGAAGGCAAAACTTGAGTTTGATGACTTCTTGCGGCAAGGTCTCGTTGAATATCTGGATGTGAACGAGGAGAACGACTCGTACATCGCTCTCTACGAACCGGATATCGTCCCGACGACCACACATCTCGAGATCGAACCCTTCACTCTTCTCGGTGCCGTCGCTGGTCTCATCCCTTACCCACATCACAATCAATCGCCTAGGAATACCTACCAATGTGCTATGGGTAAACAAGCCATCGGGGCAATCGGCTACAATCAGCTGAACCGAATCGACACGTTACTCTATCTATCGGTCTACCCGCAGCAGCCCATGGTGAAGACGAAGACGATCGAGCTTGTTGGATACGACAAGCTTCCTGCGGGACAGAATGCCACCGTCGCCGTGATGAGTTACTCTGGATACGATATCGAAGATGCGTTGATTTTGAACAAGGTCGGTGCTTTTACCCGCAGTTAGTGCGTTAATGTGCTGCGCCCTGAAGCCTGCTTCCATTCTAGGCCAGCGTGGACAGAGGTTATGGCCGGTGTCAAGTGCTTCGCAAGAACGCAACTCTCATCCGAAAATATCCCAACGGAACGTAAGCTTGATCTTCGAACTATGTGCCTTTCATATAGCTCAGCTTCCTATCTTCCCAGATTTGACCGGTTGGCAGATGCGCCCACGGACGAAGAAGGCAATGTACAGAAGAAATACGATATCGTCCAACTGGACGGTCTCGCTGGCGTCGGCGAACGTGTCGACCCCGGAGATGTCTATGTCAACAAGCAGACACCTACGAACGCAAACGACAACACGTTCACAGGGCAGGCGGCCTCAGTACCGTACAAGAATGCGCCCATGACCTACAAGTCACCTGTCGCAGGCCATGTTGACAAGATCATGATCTCTGATACGGAGAATGACCAGACGCTCATCAAAGTTCTGATACGGCAGACGAGAAGGCCCGAACTCGGAGACAAGTTTTCATCTAGGCATGGTCAAAAGGGCGTTTGTGGGCTCATAGTGAACCAAGAAGACATGCCATTCAATGATCAAGGCATCGTTCCTGGTGGGCGTCATCTTCAACCCGTACCGGTCCGCGAACGTCGTTCAGACTTCCTAACTGCCCTAACTCTACGCAGATACCATCATGAACCCTCATGGTTTCCCTTCACGCATGACGGTAGGAAAAATGATTGAGCTCCTTGCAGGGAAGGTGTGGATGTTTTTGTGTGAACTCTGTCCACTCGCATCTGACGCGGACAATTTTCAGGCCGGCGTTCTTGCAGGCAAGCTTCAGTATGGTACAGCCTTTGGCGGCTCGAAGGTTCGTCCTTGTTCGGTCTAGTAGTGTTTTGAGTTTGAGTTCGACTTCAATTTTCCGACAGGTGGAAGACATGTCGCGTATTCTGATTGAGAACGGCTTCAGTTATGCTGGGAAGGACATGCTTACTAGTGGCATCACTGGCGAACCCATGGAGGCTTACGTCTATTTCGGACCAATATATTACCAGGTAAGTTTTGATGTGTTTGACATTGACAGACCGTATACTGACCGAACCTACAGAAACTTAGTAAGTCATTGGAGACAGCTGCTGTTTGCTCGTCATTCAACCTCAACTCATCGTATTGTAGAGCATATGGTCATGGACAAGATGCATGCTCGAGCCAGGTAAGCTCGAACGGTCACAGTAGGGCTAGATCATCGTTCAAATCTCCGTCACAGAGGTCCGCGCGCCACATTAACACGCCAGCCCACCGAAGGTCGATCTCGCGAAGGTGGCTTACGACTAGGCGAGATGGAGCGAGATTGCTTGATAGGTTATGGCGCGACGCAACTGCTCCTTGAACGACTCATGATCTCTTCCGACAAGTTCGAGGTCAATGCGTGCCAAGAGTGTGGTTTGCTCGGCTACAATGGCTGGTGCACGTACTGCAAGAGCTCTAAGAAAATGGCCCAGCTCACGATCCCTTATGCCGCCAAGCTCCTCTTTCAGGAGGTGCGTCGCTAATTTTGTCTCACTTCATCCGCAGGAATTTCCGCATGGGGCGCTGATACGACCGACTTCTCGCTCTCTTCTAGCTCATGGCCATGAACGTTGTACCACGGCTGGTTCTAGATGACGCGTGAGAGAACCCGTGGTGGCTCATGATGCTGCACCTGCGCTATTTATCAGTTTTCATTGTTCTGCTTAAAGTTTTGGCTCCTGCGACACTGTACTTCCACGCAATTTGTATTCTGTTCCAAGTTTCCAGCAACTTTGCTCTTATCGCACCGCAAATGCCATTCCGACCGTCGTCGAAACACACCCAATCACACTCCATCAAGCTCGCTCCGTGTGTGAATGAAAATATGACCCCGAAGGTACTGCGCCGTCCACGCACCTTTGACCTGGTGAGTTTGAGGCGGCTCCGCTACCGAAACGGTTCACATCTTTCTTTAGCCTTTCCATTCCCTGTCTCAAACGTCATTATAGGACATTCTCCAGGCTACCCGCGGTATTCACAAACGGGACTGTCTAGAAGCGACGGAGCTGGGGAAATTACGACTTGATCGCACCCTTAGTGCAACCGCCACCGTGATAAACTCGCACCCGAACTCTTGTTGGACGCGGGCACCAGTGATATTCAGTCAGGATGGATGTACCCCCTCTTCCTCCTTGTGGCCAAACCGTGCGCCCCAATGTCATTGGTTCTGTATCCGATACTCATTTGTGAAATTAATCAAGACAAGTACAGCCTGGCGTCGTTATTGAGCGTTAAAAACTTCGGCATGCCAGCACTGGTATCGTCTAGTGTGTTCTCTATCACTCGTTTGGGAAACCTGCGATACTTTTACGTCCATCGGCATCAACGATCGCGCAACCGAGCCCAGCGGTTCCGGATGGGAGTGTGGCGTTTTTACCTTGAGAGTCGTAAGAACTAAACGGGGACTATTCTCTTACCTTTGCCATCTATTATAAGCTGTGTATGGGGACAAAGTGTAGTGCCTTGTAGAAGGGACTTTAATATTGCCTGCTCACCGCACGCGGTGCCTTCCTGTAAAAGAGTCAAAGCCACGCGGTGTGGAATTGTAACGTGGCCTTACCCCCATGAAGATGACCGGTACTACGCCGACTTCTCGTCGCGAAGCTTCGGTCTTAACTTGAATATCGGTGGGACGAGCGTGAAACACCGAACATGATTTACTGCAACGACCATAATACGCCTGGACCCATAGTCGAGGCAATTGGACCTCGCAGAAAATATCGTTGGCTCCAATTTCGGGCTTAGCGGTGTATGAAGGGCACCGTGGTCGAATCTTAAATATCTCCACCAGTATATCGGACATCATATCGATGGAGTACTTACTAGACTGATGGGACGCTGTTGAATAAAGCGCCTTTTCTACCTACCGATAAGTCCATGGGTTCAGCATGATACATCCTCGGAGAAGGTGCGACGGGACATAATCACCGAATATTGCCTAGTTAAATGATCCTAGTGGCTGTGGCTCGCGGAGTTTGCTCGGTCCGCACTCCGCAAAGCGGAAATCCGGTGATGTGCCACGCGTTCAGCCCATCCTCCCGCCACTTCCTTCAGGTTCGCGACTAGCTTGCTCAGGCATCATTCACCTCGCTTTCAATCTGTTTCTCTATTCGCCTCAGTCGATATGAGTTCTCGTGGTGGTAGTGCAACTGCACTTCGCAGATTGATGACAGAATACAAGCAGCTCACAGCTGGAGGTAGGCGGCGTTTGGCTTTCCTCAGACGATGAGAGGACCTCATGGTAGATTTAATCGATAGGTTCTCCTGATGGAATGTTTACCGCCGGTAAATTTACTTGATTATCGAGAAGGGCTTTGGCTAACGAAGCTATCTACGATTTTGGTCTGCGTCATGATCGCAGGCCCGATATCAGAGTCCGACTTCTTTACCTGGGAGGCTTTGATCGTTGGGCCCAAGGACACGCCTTTCGTGTGTGCTCAAGCCCTCCTTCGAAGGATCTTGACTGACCCTAGATCGTCTCTTGATATCTAGGAAGGTGGAGTATTCGCGGCTAAATTGACGTTCGTAAGTTCCTCCGGTGTTTCGCAGTTGAACGTGACTCATAACTTGGCTCTCCCCGACTCTATCAAATAGCCAACGGATTACCCACTGTCCCCGTTCAAGATGAAGTTTGAACCGCCCTTGTTCCACCCGAACAGTAAGCTGAAGATGACCCCTGTTTCGTCGCACATACCATCTGCACCATATCTGCTCGCCGAGTCACGGGGCTCCGACATACCGTTCCCGCATCTTCGCTGCAAAGGGATCCGGAAGTCTTACTGAACCACTTACTATCTATGCTCTAGTATATCCTGACGGAAACGTCTGCATCTCGATCCTGCACACTCCAGGTGATGATCCGACAATGTATGAACAGGCCTCTGAACGCTGGAGCCCCGTACAAAGTGTCGAGAAGGTGATCTTGAGCGTTATCTCCATGCTCGCTGGTCTGTATCATATTCTTTGACCCTTTCTTGACCACCCTCCTACCGACGATATCAAGTCCAATCTCACCGCTGCGATCGACTCGTCCCGGTTCTACAAGCTAGCGTTATTGTCGCTATCATGATCGTGCCCGCTAACATCGACGTTCCTTGTTGAATGTTTCCTTTTACAGAGCCGAATCTCGAGAGTGGCGCCAATATCGACTGCTGCAAGCTTTATCGGGACAATAAAGCGGTGCGTGTATGCCCATATGTACCTTGATGCGGGCGTTGTGGCCCTCGCAGCCCCTTCCGATCGTAGACTAATACCCAACGTGTGCTTATCTTACAGGAGTACGAGAGGATTGTCCGGGAGTCCATTAAGGAGCAACTTGGCTTGTAAACTCGAAATATCACACCGCAGCTGATCTCGGCGCGCAGGTTGCATCATCTCCGCCATGATGGGCGTCTCGGTTGCGATAATACACATACCTGGATATGATATGGTCCAGTACATCATGCACATGCTAGAAGGCGACAGAGAGGAATCGGGTACCCAATTATTCAAGTGATATTCTAAACGTAGAGTGGGTGAAGATGATTAAGTAACTGAAGGCCGTATGGGCAAACATTAGAAGAACGAAGATATGGACTATAGCACAGGGAAACGTTGCAAGTTAAGATATGTTACTACGAGTTCCAGCCATCCATCGTACACCTATCCTAGCACAACACACCAAGAAACGACTCTGCATGCCTTACACTCCACAGATCCGACCGGTACCATCAATGCCACGACATCCCTAAGCATACAGCGCGATTCCCTAGCTTGGAGAGCGCTTACGGTCGGTCCTTGAACACCCTTTCGTCGTACTGTGTCCCAGCGAGACCGAAGATGTGGCGCGAGATGTATTCGTTTCGGAAAGTGCCTGATGGATCTACGTCTCCAAGAAGCCGACAGAAATCGTCAAAGCGAGGATAGAGCGTGCGGAGTGTGTCAGGGCGAAGGCTATGAGCTTTCGCCCAATGTGGGCGTCCTCCGTACTTCATCATAATCGACTCGAAGCGCCTGAAGAGTACTCTGTACGGCACATTAAACCCGTAAGGCCTTTCGGGAAAGAAGACCAAGTTAGGATGATGAGCGTGAGGAAGCCACAGTAAAACGGAGCGCACTTGTATTGTACCACTCCAATCCAACACATACGCTGACCATAGCTTGGGCTCAACCAGACGTCATCCGCCTCCGAGAAACGAATCTCGAGAGAACAGTGAGGTCGCAGGCCATTCGGGTCGGCAAACTCTCTGTCGAACCAATCCCGAAGGTCTCGCATGGCTGCCTGTGCGTGCGAATAGGGGAGAGCCCACTCCGTAGTATGTTGGCGGTACTACACGTGAAGAAACGTAGCCAGATGAGCCGATATAGAGGAGCAAAGGTACCGCGGACTGAGAAGAAACGTACCTTGCAGTCTATATTAAAGATATTTAGACTGTCGTCTACTGAAACGGTCTTGTCGTGCACGAGCCAAGAAGTGAATCGAGCAGTCCATATGTTTACGGGTGGTATGAAACATCCAAGGAAAAGCAGAAATTGGATGACGTGGTATCCGACGAAAGAATGCCACAGCCAAGTGGCCACAGGGCGTTGTGGCTATTTGAGTAGGTCAGTATACGCCGCGACAGATATACAGCGAAAGGACGCACCTCATTGGTTTTGCTCATCGAACTGACACGAATATCTCCCGCTTGTGGCCACCACCAGAGACGGACATATTCTGCCGAATTCGCCACCTCGTCCAACCTATCCACCACCGGATCGAACTTGAAAGTCTCCTGCACCTCGTGCAGTCGGAAAGCGGGTGCAACCTTGAGCTGAATGTCGAGAATAAGACCAGTACTCCCGAGGCCACATATTGTCGCAATGAATAGATCTGTGTTCTCCGAGCGTGAACAGCGAACGTGTGAGCCATCGGCGAGCAGGAGATGCAGGGCCTGGACGTGGGTGGAGAGGACTTTGTGGGTCAGGCCGGTGCCGTGGGTAGCGGTGGTGACCATTCCTGCGAGGGTTTGGTCCGAGATTGACCCTACGTTGATCATAGCGAGGCCGTGGGCGTCAAGGGTGGCATGGAGGCGCTGGAGTGTGATACCGCCTTGGGCGACAACAAGTTGCTTCTCAACATCGATCTTTGGGGACAGATGGGGATGAGTAAAGGACCTCGGGGGTTCGTGAGCAGCACCGAAATCGGATGTTACTGGCCGAGTGCGGATCGGTCGGAGTTCCAAAGAGTGTGCGAAAAGATAAACAGCAAGAACTCGACACACACCTCGATGACTTTATTAAGCGAACCCATCCGGACCATAAATTCGCTCGTACATGCGAGATCACTGGGTGAATGGCCTACACCGACGGCACGCACAGAGCGTTTGGAGCGTCGGGCAAGCTCCAGAATAAGCTCACACTGGTGCTCAGTCTGGGGCTCAAAGACCGACAGCGGTGCGCAGCGGAATGTATGTCCCCAATTGCGAAAGATAGCTGAGGGGGATGATGGTGAGACGGTTATGGGTTGTAGGAGGGCATAGAGCTCATCGAGGGAGAGAACGTGAGCCATGGGGAGCGGGCGGGGGTGGAGGGAGGAAGAGTGTCTTGGAAATCATGGCATTTTATATGAGAACGAGGAGCGGAAGGCGTTAGACTTTAGTGAAGTTTGAACCCGATCGATTGTCAGACAGTTTGAGAGCGCATGGGGATGAAAACTAACGCTGTCTGTTTGCCATCGAACCCACGTCGTCTCTCTGCAGACGGCAGTCTCCGAACGCATGGACTGAACCGGCTACCCGATGCTCTTCGTCAGGACGACAAGTGTCCCTGACATCGGCCCACGTCCCATCCCGGTATCAGACAACACAAGAGGTTAGGCCTATTTTATCATTACAAGCCTCACCTATAATGATCCTACCGGCGATTCGTCCAAAAATCGGAAGTCCGTCATAATCCTCGGCCTGGTAAAACACTGCGAAAACCAGACGCCCAAGAGAGCGTCACCCCTGATGTGAGACTCGCGAGGTCTCGCACAGGCTATACCCTGTCTTCCGATCTGCCCTGGCGAAGGCTGCGAAGCCGGACGATTCGGGTCCTGACTCGCAGCGTCGGAGGGCCAAGAACGGAAATGGCGTCAGTGAGCACGGCAATGGCCGGAGGAGCAGCAACGCATTGGAATTTGCCTCGTCCACGACAAATTCTCGAGAACCGTAGAGCTGTCCCGTCACAACTCCGCTCGCAAGACAAACACGGAGGCAGGCATGACGGAACGCGGAACAGCCATGCGTATTCCCGACCCGGCACTTCCCACCCATATTGCACCGCACACCCACCGCAATTGCACGCCACGATTGCGTTCCGTCCTCAGCGGTCCTAGCCTTACCCGCACCGACATGTCCAACTACGTCTATATACAGTTCCGATTCGGCTGCACGATTGCTGCATCGTTCGCAACTGTCCGAGATTATCCTGAAATGAAGGCTCTGAAATGGGTGATATCACCGTACCATCTCGAGTGGATCACATATCCAAGAGGACAAAAGCATCTGCCCATGCAAAAAGCCAAGAAGAAGAAAAGAGAGGCGGAAAGACCCGTCAGGTAAGGAAGTCGAACACTACTCGACCCCACTCGGTCCCTTCATACAACAAGATACCTCTCACTTCCGCGGAATCAAGTTCCAACCCAAGTTCGAAGTCTGACTCGGTCTTAGCGCCACACACTATCGGAGCATCTCGAGGGAATGATTCGGACATACCTGTATAAAAGCCGTTGGGCCTTATACCGGCGTTCTCCTGGAAAGAGGGCAAGGACGAGATATCGACCGTCCACTTGCACAGTTCGACTGTTTCACCCTCGTCAGTGTATCTGAAGAGTTTGTCACTCTCTGACGTATACAGCGTGGCCACGAAGATGCGATCTGCAGTAAACTAAATTAGGACGAGCTCTCTACTTAGCCGATAGAATGCGGATACCTTGAGGGCTCTGAGAATACTTGCTGTAAAGATCCGTTTCAGAGACAGGCTCACACACGAACTAAGAAAAGAACGAACCAGAATTTGGTCCTGACTTTTTGTCTGAGGCCGAAGAGAAGCAGATCAATGAATGGGCGCCACTGGCGGTGCAAGGCACAGCACTTACCCCTTCCTCAAGATCGCTCCTTTCGCTACGAGGTACTGCAACCTGTTTTTGGACATGAATGACGTGGGATGAGAAAACTCGTTCGGACCAACCCACCGATTCTCGCATATGGGGATCCCAGCGTTGTTCTGTGTGATATAGGCAGGTCGCTTCATGAGGTCCTCTTGTTCAGCTGGCAGCTTGACCTGTGGCGTATCAGTGCTGACACGGCCAATAGAAGCTCACGGGGAAGAAAACTCTCACTTTCATGATATAAGACCGTGGAGCCACAACACTGGAAACAAGAGGCCTCTTCGCAAGTCCGTATTGTGCAGCCCCTCGGAGTGTGGCTGTATCGGCATCGGACGGGCGAGCGATGACCTTTATCCTCGGTCCAAAATGTTCCTATTTCCGTGCAGATCGACGTCAACAGGCGAGTCTCCGTGAGAGGTGACAGGGCGTGTGTTACCTCCACCCGGCGGAATAGATACTCGCTACCAGAGAAGCCTCCCACCAAGAGCAGCGCATCGATCCGCTCGACTCTCTTCGTCTGCTCCTCGATCAGCTCGAGAACCTAACATGATCACAGCTGTATTGAGAAAATGACGGAATGATAGACAGATGGTAAGTCACTAGAACTCACCTGGTTGACGACCGGGTCGAAAACCTCACGGCGTAAGAGGTTGCCCGGAATGGAGAGTTCACCATTGATCAAACCAACACTCGGATCGTCTGGGTCCTCGGTGTTAAAGCATGTGAACGAGAAGAATGTTTCTGAAAGGTCGAGTGTAAGTTCAAACTTCATCCGAACACTACGATATCAAATGTGGCGTACTATCATCACGTTCGCCTTTGTACGCGAGCTTGTCCGTCTCGCTAAAATTATGCATGAAAAACGCCAGACTCGCAGCATCCAAATGTGCTGGGTGGTCAGCCAGAAGGGTTTTTACCAGCTCCCGAAATCTTAACTATAACACAATAAGTAACGCATACTTTAGCCTTTGCGAAGAAACCACTACGTACGTCCAGGAATAGTGATCCACAGTTGGAGCCACTACGAGCGCACATTTCGGCAATCTCAAGATTGGTCATTTGCCCAAGAATTTTATAAATGGCAAGATCCTAGAGAACAGATAGTTAGATCCCTGTGGCGGTCCATGAGGCAATATGGAATGGAGCCGTACGACTGTACCACCTCCGGCATCCTGGAAAACGAACAGATGGTTATCAAAGGTTCAAACGCTCATAGAGAAGCACAGAAAGTGCCCATACGCAGATCATGAACGTTTGTGACGGTTTCAATTTGTGCAGATTTGTAAGGTGTGCACAGTGTACCTGGAACGGAAAATGTCCCTTGTCAGGATTTTTGGTCAAGCTAGTGGATGATGCATCATGCAAACATACCGCGGCTGCCTCGGGCTCTCTATCCTACACTTTAGAGAGCGGAATCGATGGAGATGCGGGGGAGACGTACGTGATAATCCGCAATCGATCGCGCCAATCCCTATCCCCTGCACGACTAGAGTGGACGAGACCGGCAGTGATCGCAGCTTCTCTCATGAGCTCACACCCTTTAGCATCCCATGCCGCAGGGACAGTCAGCCACACGTCCGCGGAGTCTACAGATACGATTCAGGACACGGCGATGTTAATTGTGGAAGAAGGATGAGAAGTGTAAATGTTACTCGCCGAGGTCAGCGACGGCACCAATCTCTCGATGGATCTGTTCTTTCGCGTACTGCTCGAAAGATTAGAATGGAAATCTTAATTGAACATCGTATCGCGACCTACTTCCCACATGCAGTACAAGAAGTCGATAATGAGGTCCACCGGCCGTTTGCCGACCTACACGCACGCGTCAAACTGAATATTTTTCTTGTTCCGCATGGAGAACCAACTCACCGGTAATTGAGGCAAACGTGGGTCGATGGTAGACTCATCCCGCAAAGCGTGTGGCTCGAGAAAGAGCTTGAACCTGAAGATGCTCACTCACTCTTCTGACGCAAGTTTCACTATATGAATTGAAACGAACCATTCACACTTCACCGCCCCTGGGAAAGGACTCGCATTCTTTGCCTCCAATCCCCAGGCAAGCACTTGGCCCTTATCATCGTACAGCAGGGTCGTCGGAACCTTTCGGAAAGTCTCAAGAGAGCCCGGCTGAAACATATCATGAGAACACATCATTTCTATACAGGAAAGAGTGATTATCAACTTACCCAGTGTAGGATCTGTTGCACTTGACCACCCGCTATCCGGGATGAGCCATAGGCCTGGATCAGACCACATCATTAGCTTCTCGACTTCAATATGCGGATCTGCACTGCTCCCAAGTCCTCACCACACCGGAAAAGGTTGTGCCTGCAACGATAATGAGCCGATGGGGGTTAAGTGTGAGAGAGAAACTCATGTACCGAAATCGATGGAAATAGACATCTTCCCCTCGTCGGATAATGGTGGGTTAAACCCTACATTCGAAGACGGCATGACCGAGATGGCTTGTGGGTTATACATGGTGGATCTAGAACCTGTACTTCCAGGATAGGTCGCACTTGGTCGGAGAAGATTGTCCTGGAAAGGTGGCGACATTGCAGAGGTATCTAACAAAGGCTGAGGCTGGGCGTCTCCACCAAATGAATTGAATTGCGGAAGCATCGGGGGAGGTGAGGTCGACTTGAATGACGAAGGCGGGGGCGACTGGTGTCCATTGAGAGAATTATGTGGGTATACATTAGGCGGGTACGTTATTGAAGAAGTCTGGTACGAATGTTTCGATTCTGGAATGTATGCGCCAGGATGGGGAGTAGGTTGTTGGGATGTGGGTGTGCTCGGGCTCAAGTTCACCTCCGCGCGATTACGATCCTGAACCTGGGTCTTCGAAGTCCCACAACAAGAAGCCATTTCGTCTTCGTCAGCTAGCCAGGAATCGAGGGAAACAGAGCAGATATTGTTGGGGAAAGAGGTGTGAAGGGGCAAAGGCCGCCCAAAACGCGCACAGCATCGTGACTGTTGATTTCATCGCCTGTCAATTAGCGCGTAGCGCTAGCGCTCATTACCACAACACGTGGCACGCATTGCCAAGTCAGGATTCACGGCGACTTCGAGATAATTCAGAGGGACGACTTGGTGGACACTCAATAAATTGAGTCTCGACCTCAAATCAATGCTGTCGACATCTAAACCAGAAAATTGTTATTTTGGGCCGATTTTTGCAACCCGACAAGTACAAGCAGCCCAGATGTAAACACGCAACAAATACTTCAATGAGTAATTTCACCACTCTCAGGCAAATTCAGAGAGCCGTAAATTTACTAACTGACCTCCACCATCGTATACAAACTCCAAAAGATAATCATGAAAAGGTCAACCGCGACGAGTGTTTGTAGGACTTCTTTCCACTAATGACAATGCTTATACAGACAACAATAGTGGCCAGGCTGGTATGTGACATGATATCGCGAGGGTCATCACGACATCACAGAAAATGAGCATCTTCCATCATGGTCTCGAGCTATATTATATTAAGGCCTCTCGAAACCAGTACAAGTAAAACCCAGCAGTCAGCCAAGCCGTGAGAGAACAACTCGAAGACACATGAAATCGCTTGAAGGCCGTGACGGCCGTATGAAGCTTGTCGTGGAGGTTCTTGAGGATCGTGGAGATCCAACGGCAGCTGAAGGAGTAGACGGAGACGGCGATGGGGTCTGGGCACCTGGTCGTTTAACAGCACACGGTTAGTAACAGATACTCACGCAAGAGCAGGTTCCGTAGCGCTCCAGATCAAATGCATGAGAGTCGGATGCTCTTCGAGTGACTAAGTAGTCTGAGTGATCGTATGTTGAGCCTACGGGTGATTGAGCGTAAAGTATCAAGAAGGCCTTCTGAGTGGCGTCAGGCTAGAAATATGTAGGCACGTTGTCAGGCAGAGTGCGCCAGTTCTAGACGATAGACCAGAAGGGTGCACACGACCGACTCGCATGCATACAGGTGTCATGGTAGACCGTGTACTTCATGTGAGTTAATGCAGGATGCCTCATAGATGGTATGACAGAGACCAACATCCCTCGTGGTATCTCAGAACGGGACGTCATGTTTCACAATCGATTGGACACGGTTGTATATATCGACCAGGTGCGCCAACAGGTAGCCGAGGATCTCGAGTAGAGAGCACCTGCGTGCATGTGCTACCTACTTCGACGCGGGTCGAACAGGAAATGATGCCGTACGTGAGTGGGACCATCGAGCTCTTCCGAAATGCGACATAGAGATGACCAGACATTGCGAAGGTTCACATGGTGCAGAGCTTCCACGTTGCCGACTCGGAAGACTTGGTGCTAGCCCATAGCTCCAGATGTTGTCGAAGTTCATTCTTTTTGGGGATGTATCAGGCAACTGTCGCAGAGTGCCTGGTCCGAAGGCGTTGCGCGAAAGAGTCCGATGAAGTGAGTAATCTCATCACGTCCATCGATGCGATGCGCTGTGATGATGATCATGAAGGTCCATGATACATATATAGCATCAGGAGACAGGAGACGCCTGGTAAGACACATAGGTCACACAAGCACAATATTTAGCAAGTGATATAAAATGGTCGATGATCTTTGCCATGTTCCTGTTGAAAATGTGGCAGCCTAGGTCTCAACCTATAATAGACGAGAAGAAATATCCCGATTCTTCAGAGTGTATGAATATTGGTCGTCACGAAAGGGGACATGGATGCTTGCTGGATCTGCAAATGAGCATAACTTGACATCCATGATGAAACGTCCAGAGAGATGTAGAAATTTGAGACAGATAGCATGCACCAGCAACTCAGAGTTCGACAGCAGGAGGCCCTCGAACTGCAGCCGTGCCAGTGCCTGACGGACAGAAGAAAGCTCCTATGTCTTCCTGAGTATTTCAGCGCTTTTCGGGAGTGACATGACGGCAGAAAGAGGGGATCATCACCGTATCCCACGGAGGCAGTGGTGTATACAGGAGAGCGCGATGGGTGGATGGGTGGAGCGACTTGCGACGGACTCAATAGCCGACGCCGGATGAGTGAGCAAGGTTTCGAACTCCGACACATCTTTCTAGTGCCACCCGCAGCATCAAACATCGAGAGCGCCCCGAGCCTCCCTTCTACATCTTGTCAAGGGTTGTTTCAGCGCGATGAGATGACTAGAAATATGGTAGCGCAGGGCGTTCCCGAACAAACTGATTGATATGTATGCAACACAAGAACCCTATGTCACGGGTGGCGGAGAAATGAGTGCTTCGGCGTGGCAAAGATCCCTGGAAACCGTAAGATTGGGCCACTTGCTTGTATAGGGCGTGATCCTAGTCCCAGGAGGCTAAGTGTGCCGCTCTCACGTTAACAACATGGCCGCCATAGTATACCAGACGGGATAGCGGCACATAGTCAGGTCCTCGTCATCGGATTGCACGGCTCTCAGCAAACCTCACCATCCTATTTTAACTGGTCGGACCCTTACGACGATCCGCTATGGCCCGACTATGGCGCGATTGCGGAAGTGACACCCTTACATATGTGTATTCGCTCTCATGATCATCATGATCTTCTCCTACTTCTTCCTGAACTTACCTCTTTCCCATTTGTATTCCTCGAATCCAATCGTCTACAGGAATTCTCATCCTCGGGGCCACGGTTCGGCGCCGACGTCCATGCATGGTCAATACTGACTGTGGGTTGCCGGCGGTACAGAGTCTGAACGCAGATCGCCCGGAAAGTAGGAAAAGGCGACTGGGGCCTCGTCCTCTGGCGCCTCGCCTTCTTTGTTGACCGGCGTGGACAGGACACGAAACCATATCACGCTATAATCAGCCTAAATGCGAACGTCATCCTTTGTTCCGCGTTAGGGAGTATCAGTGTCAGGAATGACGACGGAGATGAATGCGGTATGGCTCATCCCGACTGTTGTTTGTCAGAATAGCATTACAACCCTCCCGCGATCATGAGAAGGCCATGAAACAGATACCGTCCCAGTACTCTGACAGCGATGTTAGAACGGTCTCACTATACCGTGAACCCACACCGATTAATCTCGGAAGCGAATAGTCTGGACCACTTCACTGCACTTTGCTCAGTGTTGCGCTCTAGGTACGGCATGTGCGAAACGTCGCTTCCACAACAAGAAACCGTGATACCAGTACCACACGTGAGGCCATCTGCGACCTCCATGAGTATCTTGGAAAAGGTACCCGTCAACCGTCGATGCGCTCGTGAGGTGTTTATGTCCGTCCGCGGGCGTTAAGAAAGAAGAACTTCTTTCCAAGCAAAGCGTACCCGCGCCTACAGACCGTGTTTCACACAATCATGGACGGAATGCACCAGCGTCTCCCAAGAATATGGGAATGTCGCTTCGATGCGAGTGAGGTCTCGGACCAAGTTTTGGCTCGTAGACCGAGGATGAGGAGTGATATCACCAACGGAGGACAAAACAGCAGGGACCGAGTATGCACAACAGCTGTATGGGACAACGACTGCCTATCAGACTTTCCGAGGTCAACCACGGAGATTAGCTCGTTCATGGAAGATCATTGAACATCGTGGCGTGGCAAAGGATGCAGCATTGAAAACGAGGGAAGGACAGAAGGTGATAGCCTCGGATAACGGAGCATTTCATACAATGAAGACCGGAACGGAAGTACTGACTCGGACCGTTGAGACGTTCTAACCCCTGATCTAAAACGAGCAAACGTGCGATCTACGCCGAGCCAGTGCAGTGGCTGATAGCGATTACTCCTCCTCGTCTTCGTCGTCGTTCGACTCGTTGAGTATCTCGTCCTCTCCCTCTCTCGCCTAGACGGAGAAACAGCGAATCAGTACGGAGACCCGCTTGACTTCCTAGAAGACAACGCACCTTCTCAATCAACTTCGCCCTCTTCTCTCTCGCCTTGGTCAACACCTTCAAATACTTCCCTAATGGCCCCTCGCCGATCTTCTCCCTCAAATCCCTTTCCCACCCCTCCACCTCACCTGTCTGATTCGGCGCAAAAGATACTCCCTCCCTCTTCTTCTCCACCCACTTCGCGTTCTCTTCTATCCTTTCCACCAACCCCTTCACGATACCCGCCTCCTTCGCGTTCCCCCCCTTCTTGCCCTTACCGCCTGGACCTCCGGCAGACGACATATTCCGAGATACCTTCAATGCTTTACGCAAGACGACCGTGAGCGGTACCACGACCTCCGGGAAGGCGACACTTCCGCCTACGGCTGGACAACAGAGCCATTCGGCTAAGAGGAAAGTTGCTTCGTCTGCCAATCCTTCATGATACACTTTTGTGTGGATGTATTGTTGAGGCGCTCGGATGGTGGTTTCAAAAGGTAATGGACGGAGGGTCGATGACTTGAGTTTTGTGGAGGAAGGCGCGAGGAGCGAAGTCAATATGGGGAGGAGGTGCGGAGCAAGCGGAATATAGGTGTTTGTGTGCGAAGAGAGGTGTATCAGGGAACGGAGGAGGTGGAAGTGGAAGGGATAGCAGCGGGAATTCGACATGAGCCTGTTAAGATCATGTGAAGAAGTAAGCACATTGTTTCAAATGGAAACATAGAGACGCGAAGGCATCGAACCTGATGGCACCGGTGGCCACCTGAACCAAAGGATAGATCAGGGGCTTGAGAGGGCTCTCCGTAAGTGACTGCACATCACAAGCCCGTGCAAGGACATGCGCCCAGAAGTCGATACTGTGGACGAATTGCCAGTTGTACACTTGCTTGAAAGATTCCTATAGCAGCACAGTCAGTCGAGGCAAACTCTTCAGAGAAGATGAAGAGGGACATACCTTCGACTTGATCTTCATGCTATTTCTTAGATGAATGGCCAACTGCCTGATGTACCCAAATGCGTGTTGATATGCTGCGCCATGGTCCATGCAGAATATCTCAGACGCGGAATTTTTCATGAGGTTGATGCTCGGTAGTGTGTGAGGACCAGTCGACTTTGATGAGCGGATGAGGGTCAAGTATGTACTCTGCAAATTCGGGATAGTTAGGAAATCACTGCGGTCAAGAAGTTGTAAACCGGAGAATCGGAGAGCGTACCTTGAGGACCATATCGAGGATGGACTCGTCCGTAGCAGACGCAAGTTTTCGGATAGCGAGGAAAGCAGCGATCCTCACAGTATCTTCCGCTGTCGACCAAAGCTCCAAGCATGACTAAAACACAACCGCGATAAAAGTCAACACCGAAGTACGGTATGGATGTCCGCCATAGACACGTACCCTCAAGTACAGCTTGACCGTCTTCCGACTACTGACGACATACGGCAAGAGTTTGGAGGATTCCGTGACCGCTAGCTTGACCATTTCAGGCTCTGAAAGCTGGGAGATAACGTGCATGACATTGTGAAAGTAGGAGAGAATGAGCTTTTGGAGGGTTTTGAGTTTGTGGCTTTGGGCTGGCGCTTTCCTGTAGAAAATGGCCGTATGAGCATCAGAACGAAATCCAGTAGTCGATGTGCTTACATCTTGCCATTTGGTAATGTTTTGTAGGGAACGTGGTGGGACAAGATTATAGGTGTATAACGTAGAGCAGTAGTGATGAGCTTGCTATAAACTACGGGACCGTCAGCGGGTATGTAGATGACCATCAGGACTAAACACACCTGACGCGGAGTCAATCGTCCATGCGAGAACTTGATCCTCTTCATTCATGTGAGCAGCAGCTCGGAATGCGATGAGGAGTTTTCGCAGGGCACGCAATGACCGTTGCTATTAAGACAAGTAAGGTCCCATGTCAGAAGAAAGTTATATATCCGCAAGTTTGTATAGACTGACCTCAAGCAACGCCTTTTGCCACTTTTTCAGGATTTGGCTCGTCAACACTGGTGCCTTATCCTCCTCTACGTCCATATCAGCATCTTCTCCCTCAGCTTCCTCGTCGGAGTCTTGATCAACTGCATTTGGATCAAAGTCTAGAAGTTCGCGGTCATTTTCCTGAAGATACTTGTAAAACTCTGGGTCCTTCTCGGCCAGTTTTGACAGTTCGTCCAAATGTGTGGCGCCATCCTCTGTACAAGTTCTTTTAGCGCAATGAGTGCAGAGCAGGAGAAGAGCATGTTACCGTCAAGTGCATCGACCGAGGCGAACGACTGGTCGTCATCGTCATCCTCTTCACCTTCCTCATCTTCGGCCTCGTCCATCTCGGAGTCGGAGTCAATGCCTCCTTCCTAAAAGTTATGTCTGGGTTCTCATCACTGATTATGTATCTCTCAACGTAATAGACGTACCTCGTCATCATCTTCGGCCATAAAACTACCTCCAAGAATGTCGTCCACAGACATTTTCGCCCTGGGCCACAGAACTTCATGAAGTAGTTAGACGGCGGAGAGGCAAATTGTGCGCACTTTTTACTCTTTCCTTTGGCGTCCCTGTCTTCATCACCATCATCTTCCTCACCATCTTCTCCCCTTCCCTTCCCGTAACCTGAAGCGCCACGACCAGCCTTTCCGCCCTTCCTCCTCTCGATATTCTTCTTGAGCTGTTGGTGCTTGTGTCTGGCCTGGATTTGCTTTTTCAGTTGACCGCTGGCAGCAAACTTGCGCGTAGCCTTTGCGCCTTTCTTGGCCATAGTTATGAGGATATGGAAGTGGTAGGTTCCAAAGAAGAAGATGTGCCACAAGCTGGTGCAGAGAAAAAGCCGCCCGAAAACGGCAACTACAAATTTGGACGCGCGCGATCGAGCGGGCCGTAGAGGACCGAGACGCGTACAGCACTTGGACTCGAACGCCTCGAGGCTCTCCACACTCTTGGCTTTTGTGGCCCACACCCTCTGGACACCTACAACTCTTGTTATAAGGGTAAGAAACTAACGCTGCGTTTGATGAATTACTCGCTGTCTGAGTTTTGTTAATATGTTGTGTCACTTTTATCCAATTAGATTTCAAGTTCGTGCTGGACTAACAGAACGAACACTGACGGCAGTCGCCTCTGACGCATTCACTGGCTGTTCACTTCTCAAATCCTTACGAACGACAAATACTTCCTGGATTCGTTGGCAGAACTTACTAGCTTACAATCATGACCACGGTCGCTGAGTCCCTCAGTTCAGCCAACGATCTGCTAGCACAGCATAACGCTCTTCTTCACCAGGTCCGCACCTCCCAACGGACCCACAAACGCAACCTCCGAGCATTATCAAATCCACCGACTGGATCATATGAGCCTTTGCTGAAACTCCCCGTCATCCCTTCTCCGCAACCGTCTCCTACTCCATCGCCAACATCTCCCATAGCCAAGGAGACTTTCAACCAATCCTATGTCCCTGATAATAAGCCACGACGAGATCTTCCCCCTGCGAAGCGTGCAAGAGTTTCTCGGTATTCCAACTATGTACCGGAGGAGGAGACCATTCGAAACGACTATTCACAGCGATATGTGGATGGCGGAGAGTGGCCCCAGGACTGGGTGCTTGGTGCGGAGCCAGAGCGACGTTTCGAAGAGTTCGTATGTTCATCATGTCTTGCATTACTTTCGTTCTTTCAGTCCCCGTGTCTGTTTTTGGACTATTTATTTCTACCCATTCAAGGATTTGCATGTCTCCCGTTTATGACCGCTCGATGTTCAATTACTGAACCACGGGACTCGCTCGTCACGAATGCCAGCAAGACAACCATTCCTTCATCGAGCGCTATACCTGGATATTTCTAAGCCTCTGAACCGTTTTAGATGCCAGACACACCATATTTCTACTCTATAGCTCATACTCTTAGCTACTATAACTCATAAACGTGTCTCGACTTGTTTATCATCCCATACTTGTACTAATATCGCGCTATTTACCCAGGTATCCCAAGCAACAACGCCTTCTAGCCCTTAAGAAGGCCTCTGTCAACAACTACGCCACTCCGCCATCCTACCTACCCCTCACTTCCCTTGCAGCCCTTCTCCAACCCCGCCGCATATCTCACTCCCGCTCTCCATCCACTGCGACTACAAATCTCCACTCACATTCTTCTCCATCTACGGTTGCTTCTACCCTCGCTGCTTCTTTGACGACAGGTCATTCTCAATCACCCTCCATGAAAACCCTTGCTCTCCCAGCGAGCACGATCCCGGGCACAGGCGGCATTCTCAACACGGCCACCTGCTCTAAATTCGACGTCATCCTCATCGACCCACCATTCTCATCTTCCTTCTCGTGGCAGAATCTACAGGAACTGCCTGTACCTTCGCTAGCTGCTGATCCAAGCTTTGTGTTCCTGTGGGTTGGTTCCGGTGCAGGCGAGGGGCTGGAGAGGGGTAGGGAGGTACTCGGGAAATGGGGCTACAGGAGGTGTGAGGATGTTTGTTGGATCAAGACGAATAAAGATTCGAATCATGGGCCGGGCGTAAGTGCATTTCCAGACTTGTTTGTTGTGCACAGTAATGTTGACATTACGAGTATTTCATGACAGACTGACCCACCGACAACGTCTTTATTGACAAGAACGAAGCAACATTGTCTCATAGGCATACGTGGAACGGTCCGACGGTCTTCTGACAGTTGGTTTGTTCATTGTAACGTCGGTAAGTCCACATTGTGAAATGTCCCTCTACGAGTAATCATCATTCTTATTGGCTTTATAGACACCGATGTAATCATCTGGGAAGGCGACACAACAGATCCGACCCTAAAGCCTCCTGAGATGTACACCTTAATCGAAAACTTCTGTCTCGGCGTCCGCCGCCTCGAGATTTTTGGGCGAGCCCGCAGCGTTCGCCGAGGTTGGGTGACAGTTCTAGGCGACGGCGAAGAACAACGGATCGATGCCGTCAAGGAGAGACGGCGGCAGGATGGCGACGATGATAGAGAGGGAAAGCTAGAGGAGTGGGAGAGGGACAGCTGGGAGGCTAAGGTAAAAGAGATCGCCACAAAGGCTGGGGCTGTCAATGCGGGTGGACAGGCGGCAGGGAAGGCCGTCGTACCTATGACTCCTGGTAAGTGTACCTCCGCTTTCTCCGGCCCTCCATGCTCTTTCGCGCTCTACCTAGGATGTTTGTCAATATCGCTGATTTGTTGTTCCGGGGCTTTTGTCTTGATCCTATGCAGAGATTGACGCTCTGCGCCCGAAATCTCCCGTCCGCGGTGGAGGCGGAGGCGGAGGGCCCCACAATAACTCAGGCTCCACGAATGGCCCGTTCAATACATCAACTTCTTCACCAGCCCTCGGAAACAACATGCCTCTCGCTGGAAGTCCAAGCATGGGCGCCATGCAGAAGATGGCTGGTATGGGGATGGGGATGGGTGGCGGCGGAGGACGCGGAGGGTCTGTTGGTGGGAGCGGAAACGGAGGATTCAAGAACCCGAACAACATGCGCATGGGTGGCCAGAATCAAATGAACATGATGGCAACGGGAATGGGCGGCATGGGGGGTATGAACAATATGAGTGGTATGGGAATGGGTGTAGGGATGGGTCTGGGTGGAGATGGAATGTGGGGTGGTGATGGCATGAGTGGCGGCGGCAGCTCGATGCTAAACGGGGGGATGAACTCGATGGGCAGCATGCCGAACATGGGAAATATGGGGATGAGCGGAATGCAGGGTATGGGCAACATGCAAGGGATGGGCAACATGGGGATGGGCGGTATGGGTGGTATGATGGGTGGCGGAAGTGGTTATGGAGGGTTCGAACAACAATGGGACGAGAGCAATCAAGGTGGGATGTGGGATGATAGTAATGGGGTTGGCTCGGGTGGCGGCGTTGGTGGTGCTGGCGGCACGGGTGTGAGAGGTGCTAATGGCGGAGGAATGCCTCAAGGAATGGCCGGGATGGCTAATATGAGCAGTATGCAAGGAATGGCGAACATGGGGATGCAGGGAATGGGTGATATGTCCGGGATGAGGATGGGTGGCGGGATGGGCGGGATGGGGATGCAAGGTATGGGGATGGGACAGATGGGGAATGGACAACAGAGACAATGGAACGGGGGGACCTACGGCGGGTACCAGTAATATGCTGGACTTGTCGCTTTGACATAATCTCGAAGGTCAGTCCAGGAGACTTCTGCTGTGCATTTTTACTCAGTGTTGCAACAGGCATTGGACGGACTACCTCGCACCATCTGTTTATCAGCTACGGACAATGCATGTAGCCTATATATGTATGCCATCCACGAAGCTTCATTCTTTCCTGGTTGAGGTTGTGGTTCGTTCCTAGGGAAACTCGCAGGTAACCTGCTCAATAAATCCCCGTACGATCTCATAGACGTGCCACACTGATGGGCAACTCGTGCTCTTTGAAGTTGAGGTTCATACTAGACTCTCGACAAATCCTCATATTTCATTCCGAGTATGTTGTTCTTGTCTAAGGCATCTCTGTGTTTTCGCATACTGTCTCGTTTCCTGTGATCTAGAGATTTGCCAACACTTGTCGTATTGGATGATCGCGATGCTCAACCAGCGTCTACGGCGTAGACTTCGTGATTTTAGACTATGTTTAGAACACCACGAGGCTTGTAATTCTTGTGGCGCTGTCGTCGTTGCCAGTCCCCTTGGAATGCTCCTCTCCCAGTTCAAGATTCATCCTGACCATCGTGTGTGCTTCCTGTTGCGACTCTTCTTTAGTATCCTTACCAACCACTCGCTGCCCAGCCAAATGTCTTTTTGCACTTCATGCGGTGAACGTACGTGACCGCGTCTCTGCGCTACCCACTTTCTTTTTTATTTATTTATAACCTTTTGTATATCATACAGGGAACCATGCTATGCATCACTGTTCACTCGAAGAGTGGACGTTCGTGCAACGGGGTAGTAAGTTCTTTCGCGTGGTTTTGACACCCAGAAACATAGAGGGACTTTAATCATTCCTTAGAACACTTTAATCCCGTCCTCTGTAGTAATTGTGGCGCCACGATGCACCCTACACAGTACGTTGCACGTCGACCTCTTGTTACTTCTGGGTATAGGTTCACTGTCCCATTTCGATCAGCACATGCTTGACTAGAACGGAACCAGCTGCATCCAACATTTTCGAACCAGAGCCGTCGGTACAAGTGGCATGCGAAAAGTGCGGGAAAGGTCATAAAACGAAGTTAGTACCTGTGGTTGTTTTGCTGCTATCAATCTTACAGGATGACGCCCTTCACCACAGAAACTGCAGAAAACGGGGTCGCCGGAAAGCCCCACCACCTGAACCTGCGATGAAGACCGGATATGAACCAAAGATGCATTTGTAAGTGCTTCTCTTAGCTAGCTTCTACCCCGTCTTCCGCCATCCTTCTCAATCAGATGAATACAACATACAACACACCAATAGCGGAGAGGTCGACCCTCGTCCTGCGACACCTCCCACGCAAACAGCTCGGTCACAAGATACTCATGAAAACACGGCGCCCAAAACGTAAGCCTCCTTGTTTGATGTAGTGCCGCTGTACCGAAAGGAAAGTGTAGTGAACCTTCTGCCGGGACCTACTGATCTGTGCGTAATGTTGACGAATGACTCACCTTTGTGATGCCATTTCGGTATGCAGCCCACGACCGGCTCCCGAACCTTCAGCTGGCCGACGTCTCGCCTTGCAGTTGAAGGAAAACGGTAATGTCGCCTTCAAATCTGAGGAATTCTCTACCGCGATCAACCTCTACTCTCGAGCGATCGGTAAGCAGTCCCTCCTCCTTGACGATGGTCCACTCGACCTCTCATATGTGTTGCGACCGTGATAGACTTGGATAAACAAGAGAGTACCTACTATGCCAACAGGGCGGCAGCATATCTCGTCCTCAAACAACACCGTCTAGCTCTCGCTGATTGTCAATGCTCCATCATGCTCAACAGTACTATTCCTCCGTCAAAATTATTTGTTCGCCTTGGCCGCTGCTATTACGCCCTTGGGAATCCGCTTGATGCTCATGGCGCACTCAACCGAGCACTTTCCATGGATAGTAACAACGAGTTGGCCATGGCATTCCAGACTAAAGCATCCAAGCTACAAAAATCCATCGACCAATTCACGGCCGCTCGTTCTCGCAATCAATGGCGTCTGGCGGAAGGTGCTCATGCGTGCTGCATATCTGCCATCGACGACGAAAAAGGCGAAGTCCCGGTGGAGTGGAGGTGCTGGGGCATCGAAGTCGAGATTGCAAGAGGGAGATTGCACAGTGCAGTGGCCCTTGTGAAGTGCGTTATTATCACATTATGCCTCATATTATATGGTGACCGGAACTGGTTGCTTGCCTCGCAGAAATTATAGCCTGCAATACCCGTCTTGTATTGATCTGACATTCCTCCAAGCTCAAACCTCGTTCCTAACGGGTGACATTGAGGCGGCGAGCGCCCAAGTCCTAATAACGCTGCGTCTAGACCCGGACAACACAAAGGCAAAGGAGCTTCGTATGCGCGTGAAGGCGGTCCAATGTCTAAAAAATGAAGGGAATACTTCGTTCAAAGTCAATCAGTGGTCCGATTCCATCACTAGCTACAGCGACGCATTGGAGGTAGACGAGATGGTTCTACATCTCAGGATCCTGCTATGTCCTGACTCTTTTCGTTTATTGATCATTAGGTTGTCCAAAAAAGACTAGAAGAAGGTAGTGGAGGCATCATCAGAGCTACTCTACTGTCCAACAGAGCAGCCGCTTATGCCAAGGTGAGCAGAGATCCCAGCCGATTAAGACCTCGCATGTTGACTCATACATCACAATCAGTTGTACCGCGATAAAGAGGCGATGGACGACGTTCAAGCTTCATTAGCTCTCAATTCGACTTCTTTCAAAGCTCTTCGTACTCGAGCACGCCTTCACATGCGAGCCGAAGATTTTGTATCTGCTGTCGACGACTTGAAAGAGGCTCTGTTATGCTCAACGGAGCAAAACTCCAGGGATGCTCTTCAGCTGGAGCTTAACGAGGCAGAGCGAGCCCTCCAGAGCCTCAGAAATAAGAAACAGACTCATTATGAAGTCTTAGGCAAGTATTTCCCCAAACCCTGAATACCAGTCTCCGTGTTCCAACTAACGACACTGGGTAGATGTGCCACGTTCTTGTCTGCAGGCGGATATCAAGAAAGCCTACCGGCTTCTGTGTCTCAGACATCACCCAGATAAAGTTTGTTTTCCTCAAACGGATCCAAGGTGTAGGTGTATGACACTTTGACTGACCGAACCGCTGCGAATCCAAAAGGGCGGGAATACCGAGAAATTCAAACTCATCGCAGCCGCCTACGAGATTCTCTCCGACCTAACGGAACGTCAGATATATGACCGGTCCTGCCTGTACGAAGACGGCGTGGAAGAGGACTTGGACGGACACGATTATTACGATCATGCATCGAATGGGTTTGAGAGGTATCAGAACTACGACTAGGGTATTAAGTACTAAGGGTCGTATCTTGAGTGACGGCCTGCCTCAAACCTTACCGGGACCTGGGTCTGAACGCTATATGGATCTAGACTCGCTTCACATTCTTGGTTTGTGGCAGTTCTTTGTGAAGCGCGAGTTGCGAGACACATTCTGGCTATGATGCTATTCTTCAACGAGAGAGCAGGTCGAACCCACAACGAAGTGCCAATTCTTGAGCTTCCCTGGCATTCCATGTGGCGTCGACGGATCGATATGTCTGACCGCTGCTCTATTCGGCTTACAGATTTTGTTGATTTATCATTTTACCATATCTCAGCAACTATGGGCGTCTACCACAAAGGGTTACCCAAAATTAGATTGCTTACACGGCTCTCGATTCTTGTGGCGGCATTGCCTTCGTTGTCAGCGCTCGTCGTTCTGTTCCTGCTCGCACGCTACGCTGTCTCTCACCGGTTCTTCACACTATATACTCTCAATGTCCTCGACGAACTCAAGTCAACGCGACCAACGCCCGATGTGCTTGCGATGTGGCGAAAGTATGTCATCTCTACTCTACCGCAAATTTATAACAGAACTCACACGAGACTGACGAAAGGAAACCATACCGCGAACGAGTGTCGCTTCGAGCATCCTGTATGCTTCAACTGTAAGGAGTGGGGGCATAGATCTTCTGAATGTTATCATCCTCGAGGGAGTGGTCGATTGTGCGATATGTGTGGGCAGACTGGCCATATTCGTTCTCGGTGCCCGTTCAAGTCGTGGGCATGTAAGGTCAGTTGCGCAGTTTCATTTTCCTATAGCGTTTCGTATGATATTTTTCAGAATTGCAATGAATTTGGACATTCAATCCTGGAGTGTTCTATCCCTCGGGCGAAATGTACGTCCTCTTTTTTTTTCTAGTCATGAGACTACTAAGATGTTGATGCTGGGGTCAGCACGCGTCAAATGTGACAATTGCTGGGCTGCGCATCTTACACGGTATGTTCTGCACTCAATATTTTTATGTTTTCAGTCTTGCCACTGACACGGCGACAGGGATTGCCCTTTTGCCGGATTGACAGCGGGACCTTCGATACTGTCGAAAACATCTTCGGAGCGTGACGTGAGTATCAATGCCACTGGCAGGAGTGCCCAACCTTTATCACAGAATACAAAATGTGCCAATTGCGGCAAGGGACATAAAACAAAGTGAGTCCACTACGAAACTAAATTCAACATTCAAAACCAACACGAGCGTCCGATCAGAAATTGCAGAAAGAGAGGAGCCGGCCAGAAAATAGAGTCTCCCACTAAAGCCCGCTTAACGCCCGCAGCCTCTCACTCTAAGGAGCCGCCGAGGTGAGCTCGTTCGTTTCCGTAATGTTCATGGCTATGATAATCATGAGTGTCAAGCACGGCCAAAACCAAGCAAACCCCTCCTACGAAATTGGCTGCAATCTCTCCAGAACCTCTGCCTCAACCTTCCAACGAACGTGTTGAGCCTAAACAGTGAGCTCGTTAGGCATCGTATAATACCACTGAACTGACTGGACTGTCATCCCATAGGCAAAAATCTCCTACGCCGGCTCCAGTTGAGACGTACGTGACGCACTGTAATACATCGAATTCATTTTATGCAGGTTTTCATGTCTTGGTGGTAACATAGATCGAGAGCCACGCCTGAGCAGAACAAGCAACGGCTATCTTTTCAGCTGAAAGAGAAGGGCAATATTGCGTTCAAATCCGAAGACTTCACCACCGCCGCAAACTTTTACTCGAGAGCCATTGGTCAGTCGGTGATCCCCTACTCATACACGATCATTGCCGACACCGTTTTATGAGCAGAATTCTACGGTCAGGAGCCGACGTACTACGCAAACCGAGCAGCGGCGTACATCGCTCTGAAACGCCATCGTCTCGCCCTTGCCGATTGTCAGCAGGCTCTGTCCCTGGATAATACTGGTCCAACCTCTAAGCTGCTAACTCGGCTGGGTCGTTGCCACTTTGCGCTGGGTGATCCGACTAATGCACTTGACGCACTACGCCGGGCACTCCATATAGAACCTGATAACGAGATGGCCAAAGCCTTCAGGACAAAAGCGTTACAGCAACAGACCAACATTCAGGAGTTCGCTTCTGCAAGAGCTCGAAACCACTGGCGAATGGCACAGTCTGCGTACGAGAGTTGTGTGGCGTCAGTCGAGAAAGAAATGGGTGAAATATCCGCGGAGTGGAGGTGCTGGGGCATCGAAGTGGAGATTGCGAGAGGACGATGGGACTCAGCTATAGATCTCGCAGAGTACGCCCATCAATCTGTCCTTCCTTAACGGTATAATGTTAACCGTGTTGTTCTACCCATGTAGGCGTTTTACAGAAGAGTTTCCTTCCTGTGTCGATCTGTCCATGTTACGAGCTCTCGTGTCTTTACTCACGGGAGAACTGTCCGCGGCGATTACGCACGCTGAACTAGCATTAGCTCTTGATCCCAACAATGAAAAGGCAAAGGATCTTCGAACTCGCATCCTTGGTGTTGAGAGCGAGAAGATGGAGGGGACTATGTCGTTTCTGCAACGTGCATGGCAATGTGCAATCAGCGACTGGACAAGTGCATTAGATGTACGCATGGCTTCCCCGCATCACTGTGCTGTATAAGCGTTAATCGTGCCTCTACCTAGGTCGTCGGAGAGGAACCTGAAGAGGGCAATGGCGGTCCCTTGAGGGGTGTACTGCTAGCCAATAGAGCAACCGCGTACATGAAGGTGCGAGTGCGTAAACGATGCCGGTGAGACTAACTGAAACAGAGATATCCTCTCGATAGTTGAATCAAGACAAAGAAGCCATGTCTGATGTTCAAGCTTCTCTCATACTCAAGCCAAATTATTTCAAGGCACTTCGCACTCGAGCTCGGCTCCATCTACGGGATGGAGATCTGGAGTCGGGCATCAGGGACCTCGAGGAGGCTATCTCGCATGCGTCAGAGCAGAAGGCCAAGGATGAGTTACAGGCAGAGCTTCGAGACGCCGAAGTCTCACTAGAGAAGGCCAGAAGTCGGAAAAAAAACCATTATGAAGTGCTTGGTGCGCCCTTCTCGTACTCGGCAGTGGTATATCTCATTCTGATCTCCGGTAATAAATAGGCGTCTCAAGGTTTTCTCTGCAAGTTGACATCAGGAAGGCCTACAGGCGAGAAAGTCTTATACATCATCCAGATAAGGTACGTCTCTGCCCAGATTCTGAAGTCATGAAGTGGTCATCGCTGAACTGGATGCCCATGGTCTGTCTACGTCCATCAGGGCGGCAACGCAGAGAAATTCAAACTCGTCGCCACAGCGTATGGGGTTCTTTCGGACCCTGTTGAACGACAGAAGTACGATCTCACCAACCAGTCTTCTTGCACGGATGCCGACTTTAGCACGGCAGGCGAGACAAACATGGGGGATTTCGCGAGTACGAGACCTACCGGAGGCCCCTTCGCAGGTGGACCCTACGCAGGCGGCCCCTACACGGGTTTTGCTGGCTTCAATTATGGGCGATTCTAGAGATGAAAGGGGCAAGCTATATTTCTTGGTGTCTCATAACGATGCTAATTCGGGACGTTACTTATTGATATTGTCCCCTTTGGTGGTTTGATCTACTTGTGTACGCGGACGTGTGTTGCTAGGATTGCTTGCCCATTCATGAGATTATGGTTGCTTAGCTTGGTCGGAAGCCTGAGGTCAGCGGAAGCAAATCTGAACTCGTTCTTGCCTCCCGAGGAACCGGCGCAGCTGTGGCGCGCCACATTCGACAAGACAACTGCGAAGAATGAGTGATGTGCTCCTTCCATGCTTGGCCAAAAAGTCCATCGTAAGAGTTCATCAAAAACGAACGCTAGTTAAGTAGAACTTCATCCCCAGAACCTCCATCGTCCAGCGAGAAAGTAATGTAGTTGTAAAGTATGTAGGTTGACGCGTATATCGTGCTATTAAATGCATATGGTCTAACCAAGAGAAACCAAGAACCAGAATCAAAGATATACACGATCCCCAACCATCAAAAACGAATGTGTTCGCAAGCTAGATAATATACGTATAAACAAAGGAAGGAGGAAGGAATGTCCGCCGATGATACAGACAGCGGCGCCAACCCATGTCAACCTTCCTACCGCACCAGGAATCTATGCCTTCAGATTGTGCATCCTAAAGCAGTTCACACACATCCCCGTCGCCTTGAACTGATTCTGCACAAAGTCCCTACAATCACCCGTCTCCCCATCCGGTAATGTCACCGCACTGTGGAAGGGCGTCGGTTTCTGTCCAATTCCCCCGTACCCGTTGCCATTCTGTTCTGACGTGTGAACGGAAGCGTTGGTCATACCATTGTTCATCATCGTACTTGTAGTCGCACGGCGTGGGGGTGGAGGTGGCGGAGGCATCTTCCTTCCGGTATCACTCGGTCTCCTGGGCAAGAGGGGCGGTATGAGTCCGGAGAGCGAGGTTGGGGCTGGTGTGGGCGTAGGTGGCGCTGAACTCTGCCTCGCCATGGCGGCAGCTTTGAGTAGCAGATCGTCATTGTCGAACTCGTCGACGGCGACGGCAGGTACGAGTCTCGCGCGTTCGTGCTCCGAGTCTTCTGCGGCGGAGGAGAGGATAGACTCCGTATCGTAAAAGCCACCAGTATGCGTGGGTGAGACGACGTTGTTGTGGTCGCCGAAAGGGTGGTCTTCGGCGTCGGATTGCGTCGAGTCTCGATGATGGCTGGTATCATTACGAGATAACGAGGCATCCAGAAGGGAGGGTTTGGAGTTGGAGCTATCCGATGATGGACCCTTCACACTACTCGCCAACGAGCCGGCATGAGATCCCCCAGCAGCACCATTCCCTCCAAACAGACTGCTCCTCCTGCTATTCGATGCCGAAGCCTTCGACCTTGAAGTGGGCGAACCCGACTCGACAACTTCGACATGACCCGTCGGGAACAACCCTTTCACGCCCCCTAGCTCTCCCATCCACCACCCTTCCAACACCTCATTGACTACGAAGATTTCATCTCCCGCCTTGAACGACAACTCGTCCACAGATCCCGTGAAATCTTGAAGTGCCCTCACGACCTTCCGCCTATCCTTCTCCGATCCCGGGCCGGGGAGCTTGAGCATCCTCCCGGGTACAATGGGCGACGAGTTGTTCGATTTCGATTTATTCGACTTGCCGCCGAGCACGCTTCCAAGTCCGAAACCAGTCGAAAGCGATGAGGTCGATCGTTCAGGATGCTCGTCTTCGTCTTCGTCGTCGCCATCCGAATCTTTGAGGTTATTGAACGTATCCTTCTTCCCCCTCAAACTACTCGTCCACCCCGAAACGCTCTTCTTTTTCCTCTCCTTCTCCCGCTCCCTCTCTACTGCACTCCCCGTGCTATCAGACCTCTTCCTATTACCACCACCGCCTTCCGTTTTCGTGCTCTTCATACTCTTCGTACTTTTCCCGCTTTTTCCACTCCGGTTGCTCGTCCTCGAGGCAGGTCTAGACGGTGCCTTCGCACTAGCCGCACCATGACTACTCCGTCGTTTAGTGGTTGTATCCGTCTTTGTAGAACGTATTGAGGAGCGTCTCGAATGAGAGGGCCGTGGACCGTCGTCATCGCTGATCTCTTCATCCTCGTCCGAGTCGGTCTCTTCGTCTGAAGCGGTCCTATCCGAGTCCGAATCGTGGCGATGATTCGAAGGTTTCGTTTTGGTCGGAGGTGCTCTGGAGATCATGGAGCGGATGGACCCGAAACGGCTGGACGACGCAGGAGCGGAGGCTTCCTTGTCTTTGTCTTTGTCCTTGTCCTTGTCGTGTTCCTTGCTATCGTGTTTATGAGGTGCAGTAACTCGGTCTTTAGATTTTGTGCGGGAATGAGTGTGTTCTGCAGAGCCGTCGTCCTGGTCGTCATCGACAGAGGAGTGGGAGAAGTTGTGCATCGGGCCTGTAGGGCGGCGGAAGTTGACTTTATCGAGCATGTGGCTGAAGAACGGAAAGCCATGCCAGGCAGACATATATTAGTCAAGGCGCGAGGGAATAAGAAAAAGAAAGAGATTAATGACAGAATGGAAGAGACGCACTCGTCGACCCAGTTCTCCTTCACGTCCTTCAGCACCTCAGCGTACTGCTCCGCGAAATTGAGCTCTAGCTCCAGGAACCGCTTCACTTCTCGGAGTTCATCGATCTCGTTCTCCTGAATTGCGACGATGCGAGCTTTTATGTCTTCAGCACTTTCCTCGCTACAACAGCGATCACCACATGCAAAGAGAGTGGCATGTCAGTAACACATTACGAACCACGAGGCATAATATGGGATGGGTGGAGTAGGAAAGAGCAATGTGCGAGTAGACGTACTATCGAGTCTGTGCCTTCTCGAGCTCCTCCTCCGCCTCTCGCCGGTCTTTCTCCTTCTCCTTCTTGTTATGCTTCGACTTCTCCATTCTCGTAAGTGCGGCATCGTAGTTCAATCTATCCAACCATGTCCACACAAAATCAACGTCAATACCGGGTACAGTCGGAACACAGCCGACTGGGAAGCGAAGTGGCGTGTAATGTGGCGCTGGATTGTGGCGCAGTAGAGAAAGAACATACCTCCGTGACTCGAGCTTCTTCCTCTCGTTTTCGTAATCTTTCACCTCGTCAACAAACTTCTCCATTGATCGGAGGAATGTGTCTTGGAAAGTCAACGCATAGGCTTCTTGCAGTGTCGCAACCTTACAATGTGCGCGTCCGAGCTTGACTAGAGCCGAACCTGCACACACGTCGCCAGACCACGTATGTCAAGTCACAATGACGGTTATCACCACACCCACACCAGAGAACAAGCCATGCATGAGTGTGGAGTTCGTGTTCCAACAATAGCCCACTCTCGGCCAAGAGAAATGCGAACGTACCGAATGCGGACTCTTCTCCGATTTCCTCTCCATGCGTTATCATCACGATACCCAGCGCGTCTCGCACAGAGAGCTTCTCAGGTTCGTCGAGTGCTTCTGACACTTTCTTCTTGGACAGCTGGTGGTGATATTCGAGAGAGGCGATTTGGAGTCTGAAATGCCAGCAGCGCCGCACATCACGGAACATGCATCGCAAGGGATGAACAGTGAAGGATCGGCAGAGATAGATTGTTTCAAAACGAAAGAAGACGTTTTGATCATGAGTATGGAAGATGTGAAGGACAGAAAGCGAGAGGCTGACCTTTGCAGCCCTTCCTTTCGCAACTCGACATCCTGTTCGAGTTCGCGAGCTTCGTCTGTGATGTTACTCTTATCCTTCGACGAGATAACTTCGCCAGCCCACTAAACAAAACAAAGACCGCGTCAGATATCCATCACGGCACATGCCTTCATATAGCGCAAAACATACCTGTCGGAATCTTCCAAGCTACGTGGCCGACGAACCATAACCAGTCAGCTTTAAGCCGAGCCACTTTATTACCTCTAAGTAACATGCTCACCCGCTTACTAGCCATCTCAGCAACCCAAGTAGTAGAAAGAGGACTCAAGAAATAAAAGTAAAGGGTTTAGCAAGACGAGATGGTAGTGGTTACAGAACAAGAGAGGATAGCAAGCCAAGGTACTATCTGACCACTTTCGAATTACTCTTTAGCAGCCCGACAACGCCATCCATTGAGCCCGCATCCGGAAATAGCTTACATCAAATCCGGGCACGGCTCCGTCCGGGAAACAATGACGGATTGCAAATGACCGCTGCTGGGGGCCTCCAATTGGTTGGAACAGTGAGTGCTGTGCTGCCCCTTGCTGTGTTCCTGACCGTGCAGACGATCTCTTGTCTTTTGTTTCCGAGGATTACTGCTTTTGGGAGGTTGTCTGGGTCCTGTTAGGAGTTTTTGTTTGTCTCCGTCGATTTTTTACAGCAGTTTTTTTGGCTGTTATTGTGCGGAGGTCCACGGAGCTGGAGAATGGAGGTGATAGCCATGGGTCTAGACTCATCTGTGGGGTCGCCAAGGAAAGGGTTGTAGTGACTACACATCCGTTGTTCACGAAAGCGTCATAAAACAGCGGTGTGCAAGATCGGAAACGTCGGGTACCGTTGGGCCACATCCTTTACTTGTCATCCAAAACATATACTTACGAAAATAAACGGGCATTTAACGGACGTGGTCAACGTTCACGGAAGTCTCCTCCGGTCCATGTAGCTATCAGTTTTACGAGTATCAGGCCATCAGCCGAAAGTCAGCGATATCTGACCTATCATGATCAGGGGAAATGATGCCCTGTGTGGCGTATCGACTTCGAACGGATGACCCAGGCCCAGGGGTTTGAAGACCTTCCTTATGCACAGGGGTCTCAGAGCACACGCCTGTTGCATATCACACACAGACACCACGTCGACGTCAAGTCACGAGCAGCTCGCCGCGGAGAACTTCAGGATGCACAAGTACAGAAAAACAAAGAATAATTACTCGCTGGTCCGTGCCGTCCGCTCGGTCCAACTTCAACATCAAAACGACACAATCTCAGAATCACAGTTCGCTCTGAGTGACAACCTAAGACTGGCCCAGTGGTTTCGCAGCAAGCCGAATTCCGTCCCCTACACAACGAACAGATAAGTGACGTCTTCGAAAGACAGTATCTTGCCAAGAAAGGGGAAGTTCGAAGAGTATGAAAACGATACTTACAGACAGCAACCGCCTCCTCCACCCAGCCCATCTTCCAAAAATCGCTTCTGTGCAGATCCTCAGTCCGCACCGACGCACCCTCGCTCGGTCCACTGGCCAGGATACTTTCCAGGTCTCTCGATTGTGACTCGAGGAAAGTCTGGATGAATTTGGCCGGGTCGTCTGCGAAGGCTTGCATGAACTGTTTCTTGAGGATCGATGAGTGTAGCGATTGGGCGAGCAGGGCGATCTAGAACACCCACAGCATCAAACACAACACATATCAGTATGAGTAAAATGCGAAGCATATCGTGCCACGCAGAGGCTTAAGGATCAAGTTGAAGGGTCGAAAACTCGCCTTCTCATCTATCTGCATAATCTCTCTCACTCCCTCCTTCTGCACGCCCACCGTCACATTCGTCATCTTCGCCTTCAACGCCAAATCCTCCATCTTCACCTCTATATCCAACGCCTGCGGTCGTTCTGGTGGCGGTTGCTGAGGGTTGATCGTGTAGTGTATGGTAATGGCTTCGGGGGGGCCTAGGAAGCGGTTGACGACGTCGGGAAGAATATGGAATGGAATGGCGTCGACTTGGAAGATCTGTTTGTGATGGGAATACAAGTCAAACAGTCAGTTCCACCAGCCAGTGAAAAGGAAGATCAAAAGGTAGGTGCGGGTGGGCAAGGGAAATAAGGGAGAAGACGTACAGGTCGCAGTGCAGCATCGATATGTATTCGTTTCCTATCCGCTTTATCCTGCAGCCCATTGATTTTGATGTAGTTCCACAGCGTCTGAATGACACCAGCACGGCTGTCCTCCTTGATACCGAGCACGCTTCCAAGGTCCGGATGGACCTTGAATTGCTCTGGGTAATGTTCTACGTGCAGGAGGATACGAACTTTGGTGGGTTGGTCGCCCATGCGTCGGATTGTGAATCCGTCAAGCGGTGCATGTGTTGCGCCGCGGTGCCACTGTAGAAAGCCGCCAATGCAGCTTTGTTAGAAAACTCGACACGTAGGATTACAGATGGCAGGGCGCACTTCAACGATATTTCCATCGGGGTACAATGTGACGTCTCTGTCGAACTCAACGCGCATGTGCTTGATGAACGTAGAGAAAGCTCGATGCGGAGCCTTGTCTCTTGATCGTTGATTCGGCAGCTATCACCCCGTCAGTATATTATCATCCTCCACAAAGCAGTGGTAAGTAGTATTGTGAAAAATGATGGAACACACCTCTAGTAGTCTGCCTTCAATCTTGAATTGCCACGCCGGAATGCCCTGTCCTGTCTCGAAACTGGGTTCGCCGCCTGCTTCTGCGGTCTGCCATGCCTGACCGGAGACAGTGTGAGAGATAAATAGTCGGAGCGTTCTTGTTGACTGTCATATAGAAGCACATCAATATGCCACAGGGCAAAGAATGAACCAATGGTAAAATAAGCGTGAGCATCGCACGAGCAGACACGAATGTGGTAAGGGAACCGAGGTGGAGTAAGGACGTACACTGGCAGTCCTGCCCAAGGCGTCCTGTACCTCCGTCCGCTTTCGCATCATAGTCCAGTCAAGCTTCTTCTCCATCTCTACGAGGTCTTGGTACATTTTGGAGTCGAGTGCGAATGTGGGGTCTGCGAGGATGGATGGAGGAAGGTTACGGTCTACAAGCTTGCGCTTCCTGTTGGGTGCGAGGAAGAGAGAAGAGGTCGAATGTTGGAGTGTCGTGATGGCGAGATAAATGTTGTATTAGTTATGGAGCTTGGAGAGAAGGCGACTGGAGACGCACTTGGGAAGCTTTTGACCGTCGACGGGATTCATTGTGGTAGACTTCAAAGATACGAGTCCGTAGAACGATATACGCGTATATTACGACTGATTCCAGCAAAAATATAGCTATCCATAGAAAAACATTCTTCAGCTTACCCGCCGTTCAGAAGAACAATATTTGGGCCACTCACCTCAAGAGCACTACAACGCGAACGAAACGAACGGCAGAAAGAGATGGCAAGCGTGGCGCGCGCTTGTCACACCCGTGACACAGATCACGAACATGGGAGACACCCGCACGTGACTGTGTGACATTGTTGACGCGTGTGTCGCGTCGAGATTGTTTCGGAGGTTCGACCTAATCGGGCCCAGCTTCGCTCCTGTGTCAGTCTTGCTTGTGGCTCTGGCTTCGCTTTACTTTCTCTTGTATATTGTTCTCGTTCGTCTTCTTGATACACGCACTTCTCGATGACCGTCAACGCGATGAAGAAACCAGAGGCAAAGTTGAACTTGAAAGGACATGCGTATGACCAACGTATGTCTTCATCATCGCTGGCGCCTCTCTGTTTACGTGCTCATTACCGAGTCTGAACCCCCACAGGAAACAAGAGTGGTGTGGCTGCTCCTCCAGGTCAGCTAGATCACTTGGTACCCTTACGGCACAGCGCTCTAAACAATGCTTATCTCCGTAGACTGGTCCGATGACTCTGACTTCGCGCCTGGCGAGTTCGTCGAACAGGCCCCTAAGAAACCTAGAGGTAAGGGACAGGTTGGACGACGCTCGGACGCAACCAAGACCCGAGGTCGTAGACGATCCGGCAAGGAGAAGGAAGCCGTCTATGACGATTATAAACCTGGTGCAAAGAGAATAGGTACACTCGGCTATTGAATCTTCAAGCCAACTTTCACCAATGGAAATTTGTAGGCTCGAAATATGTAAAGAGGAAGCATGTCGTTTTAGCAGCTGAGAATCCTCTGCTAGAATTCTTCGGTCAGTTCGCTTTTTCCTCGACTTCAAAAATAGCTAGGCTAATCTTACCTATTGTGCAGATATCGACCCACTTCTTGCTGTCGAGTCCTCTGACTCGTCGGACGATGAATTGACTCCGGATGCTGACAACGAAAGAGAAGATGAGGAGGAGGAGGAAGAGGAGGAGGAGGAGGAGGAGGAGGAAGACAACGATGACTCAAGCAGTCGTCCACCAAGCCCACACCGGCCTAAACCACGAGGCTCCACAACACCAAGTGCTGCTGTTGCTGGACCTTCGACACTTGTACCAAATAGGAATATCGAAACTGTACGACCACCTAATACCCAAGAAGAAGACAGTGTCACTGGTCCGTCCATTTTCCTCCCTCTGCTTCGCTGTGGTGACCCCTGACTTGTATTCCCTTCATAGAGCCCGAAAGCGACGTCGAGTTACCTCCACCAACCCAAACGCAACATTCATCGCCCCCTAATCTCAAACGAAAGTCTATTTACAGTAGCCCTGAGATATCTTCCGTACCTATCAAACGTGCAAGGTTTGAAACTGCAGAGGACGAAGACTCGGTGACGGAGTCCGAGAGCGAACTCGATGAGCTCCATACTGCTCTGTTGGCCAGCGCAACAAACCCCAGTCGCACGAAGGCAGGTCGAGGTGAATATCACATTTCGCTAATAAACTAGCTCATTCCCTCATATTTCACGCTTTGCCTCATTGGATGTAGACGACAGTGATGAAGACTCTGTGACAGAGCCAGAATCCGACACAGACGACGATGAGGTATTGACCCGTCTATCTTCCATCTTTCCTTATCAATATTGACATATCGCCTTCAATAGATCGACAACACTCTTCGAACCAGACTGCCAGATCTCAAAGATGCTCTCATTCTCTCTCCACCCGCCCTGAACCCCCCGATTTATGTCCCCTCTCAATTGTCCACTAAACTTCGAGCCTACCAAATAGAAGGCGTACAGTTCCTATTCAAGAATTACTCTGAGAATCGAGGGGTTTTGATCGGCGACGACATGGGTCTCGGTAAGACGTTGCAAGTCATCGCCTTTCTCAGCGCTATCATGCAAAAGACCGGTTCCGGAGCCTTGGATAAAGGTAGGAGGAAGAAGTACGTGAGTAGGTTGCAAGACGGGGTCCAGTGGAAGAGAGAGCGGAAGTTACCGCCCGCGGATGCTAAGTGGGCTACTGCATTGATCGTTGCGCCGAGCAGTGTGATGGATGTATGGACGAGGGAGTTCGACAAGGCACGTTGATATTTCTCAAAGAACGAGGTAGCGATGAGCTGTATGTACTGATATCTGAGCTTCTCTTCGTTTTTATCCAGTGGGGCCACTTTGAAGTTGCAAAATACCACGGTAAAGAGCGTGAACAAGTTCTTCGTGACTTTACTCTTGGTCGTCTAGACGTCGGTACGTGCTTACAAACCCGTCTCGATTTTCATAAAATACCAGATGTCGTCGTCCGTCCCATTAACTGTATGATCCTCATCGTACATGCGGCAATGTCACTAAGAATCAATCGTTTGCGTTAACTAGTTGTGACATCTTTCGAAACTGCTCGCAAAGACGGGGATTTACTCGACTCATTACCCTGGACTGTTGTCATTGTTGATGAAGCCCACAAGATCAAGAACCAGCAAGCCAAGCTCACCCAGGCTCTCTACGCCTGGAAATGGCGCGACGACCACCCTATACCTCCATATATCACTCGACTCACCGATGCTATCAATGCGGCTCGCGCCTCCGAAGTCTCCAAGTCCTCCGCCTTCACCGCTGCTCCCATTGCCGCCCTAAGCTCAACTCCAACGACCAGTCAGGACAACTCCAAAGGTAAGGTAGACTTGGGCGGTAAGATCAAGAGCGGAACAGGAACTCTAGCACCAATCCGACCGAGGACTGGACCCATCAATATTGCATTGACCGGCACGGCAATCCAGAATGATTACGTGGAGCTTTGGACGCTGTTGGATTGGTGTAACCCTGGAATGGTGGGATCGAAAGCCCAGTGGAAGATGGCTATCGTGGAGCCGCTGACGAGAGGACAGGCGAAGGGAAGTACACCGGAAGAGAGAGTGAAGGGACAGGTCAGTCGAGCCCTCTGTATCTCGAGTGGACTTGAAAGTCATGTGAACGCGTTTATACAGAGCGTGGCCATACGTCTAAGAGACGGACTATTGCCGCGGTTCTTCATTCGACGGTACGTGGGAGTCAACTTAAACAACGATACTCTAGTTGACCCTTGGTCATATGGTATACAGAACGAAAGACATCATCAGCGATCAACTCCCGAAGAAAATTGATCAGGTAGTTTTCTGTCCGCTCACCAAGATGCAAACCGAGGTCTACAAGCGGATTCTGGCGCTGCCTGCGGTTCAAAACATGATCAAGAAGGACGAACCTTGTGATTGTGGCTCTCGGCTGCCGTACGCTCTCTTCTCTCACCAATACATATATGAGGTTCTTTTGTACTTTGACTGATGTCTTTTGGTGGGTTGCTGATTATAGTCGCAAGAAGTGCTGTTATCCCTGGGATAAGAAGGATTTGTTTACTTACATGTCTACATTGATCAAGATCTCCAACCATGTGGCGCTCATCCTTCCCGGTGAGCTTGACATTTCCTTAGACCAATCGTGCACACCTGACTTCATGTACGATCCAGCTCCGGGAGATACAGCAGATCAGGTAACCTTATTTGCCTCGGCTTGCTGTTGACATACCGTTGATCCGCATGAATAGGTCGTTCGCAACAAAGAGCTTACAAGTCTCGTCTTTCGCCAGACGGAGCCGCCAAAGTACGGTACTGCGATGCTTGAAGCAGGCCTGTGCGGAAAGTGGAAGGTCAGTTGTGCTATCCTGGAGGTCGTGATGCATAGAAAACACGTTATAATGAGCCCTCACTCTTCAGGTCCTCCATAGCCTACTCGTACAGTGGAAAAGGGAGAATGCGGCGATGAAAAATCCGAAAGACTGGCATAAGGTTCTCATATTCACCAAATCGGTTAAGCTGTTGAACATGCTGGAGTTCCATTTGAACAGCGAAGGTAGCGCTAACCTTTGCATCACCATGAGAGTACGATAGAGCTCAATTCTCATCATCTAGGATGGGGCTTCCTGACACTGGATGGGTCGGTCAAACAAGCTGACAGTAGGTGCTTATTACCATGTACGTTTGAAACAACCATTGATCTCTTACTTGGACAGGAATGCCAATGATCGATAAATTCCACGAGGACAAGAACGTCTTCGTCTTCTTGATCTCGACACTGGCGGGTGGGACAGGGCTTAACCTCACGGGTGCAGACAAAGTTGTCATCTTCGGTGTGTTCTGTGTCTCGACCTTCATGAGCAAGAATATGTTACTCACCTGCACTTATTGTCTGCGGCTGATGTAGATCCTAACTGGAGTTTGTCTTAGACTTCATCTGCTGTTTCTCTAGAGAGCTGACCATTATGCCATGATTTTTGTAGATCCCGCACACGACCTTCAGGCAATGGATCGCGCCTACCGCTTTGGCCAAACCCGCGACGTGCACGTCTATCGTCTGCTGGGGTGTGGATCGCTCGAAGAATTGATCTATGATCGGCAAATATATAAGCAGCAGCAGATGGCTATTGGTTATACTGCGAGTCATCAGAATCGGTATGTGGTGCTACGTTCAATTCCCGGTATTCAACTGGTAGGCCCATGACCTGAATTTCTGGCGCTGGAAGGTATTTCTCTGGGGTGAGCGGTGACAAACAGAGACAGGGTGAGTTGTTTGGCCTCAAGAATATATTCAAGCTCGAAGATAAGGAGATGAAAACAAAGATCGCCGTAAGATGGATTCCACTGTCCGGTCGCTGTTATCTGAATTGGCGCTCTAGATTGACCAAGCTCTCCTGAACAATTTCGACTGGGCTCTTGCACACATGGAGGTGGCAAAGTCGAAGACGTCGAAACGAAGGAAGAGTGGGAGCCAAGGAGAGATTGACGGGGTGTACGAGGTGGAGATGAGCCAGCCTAAGGAAGACGTAAGCCCCAATCGTCGTCGTCCAAACTCGGGCAGGGGGCTAATACATAATTACTTCGCTAGGACTTGAAAGGACTGGGGGCGTTCATGTTAGATGACGGTACGCTCCTTCGCCTATTATTAATTCTTTTAATCGTTCTGATGTGGCCGAATCATCAGACTTAGCACCGGAAGTCCAAGAGGATGAGATTACCAAGATACTGAACAACCATGGCATCAAGTACACGCACCACAACGACGATATTCTCGCTCCCAGTCATATCGAAGAGGCGCAGATCGAGACTGCCATCAAGGTGCGACCTTGGCAATTTTATCTCTCTTTTCGAATGTCTGGTGTCTGACTTCTCCCGGTACTACAGGAGAAAAAAGAGCGCACGAAGAGGGCAAAACAATCGAAGAAAAAGAGCAACGATGCCACTACTCCAGACGAGCCTCCCAAGCCTGTATGGCCACCGGTCAGACGCCATCATAAGCGGGAGCCGGCACCGCCAACACCTGCAGAACTGTTCGTCTATTTTACCGCTCACGTACTTGCTTGCTCTGGCTTACGGTTTCTACAGGAGGGAGAAGCGTCATCTGGCCTTGATCGAACTCGGGTACGTTCAAGACATGGACGGTGCAAACAAGCTCGCAGAGAAGTTGTGAGTGTTTTCCTTCCCCCTAAACGGCCAGAAATCGCTGACGCTAAACCATAACAGCAATCGACCGGAGCATGCTGAAGAAGTGAACGAGATTCTGGCGGCCGTGGATGAGCATCTGAAGAAATCAAGGTGATCGTGACAGTTGTGTTCGACGATCCCTTCGTGGCTTCGGAGTATCATTATTAAACTATCATTATTTTTCTGCATGATCCACGAGCTGGAACGAACTCTCTTGGCGTGGGGTCTTGGGTGACTAAATTTGAGCAGAACGGATCTATGTTCGTCGTCCGCTTTGTCTCTGAACACAATATCCAAATTTCGATGCATCTGCCTCATTAAAAAGGGAGTCAAAGTCGCAATTTAGCGAATACACTAATCCTGACTGCTGTCTGCTCAAAAACGACTTCCAACTGCGATGGGAAAGAGTGAGCTCGCAACAGTGGCCCCACACAGCGTGGGAAATGGCACAATGATCTTATCTTATCTTCGTGCAATCGTCGTCAGCAGAAATGGTTCAACGCAGGGTTCAACCTGCTACCTCTCTTTACGCCACTGCTGTAGACTCCTGTAAATCTTCGTCTCCAAACGCTATACGCTCTGTATAATGTAAGGCCCCGACCCCGCTCCTTACCATCGAACTCAGATCAAGATAAAACACAAAATGTTCTAACGGAAGTACGTGGCTGCTTTGCAGTGAAACTGAGAGAGTCAGAGGAACCTCTCAAAGCCCGAGGACTTTCTCTATGTCTAGTGACAGAAGTGATTATTATCCTGATGGGGTATGTTCCTGCATTATGTGGTTTTTGAGGCTATCTCACGTCCACCTGGCCACGAAAAGATCAAATGCAATGTCTGTTGTGCTCCCCAGTCGACTGACCCAGGTGTAGAGTGCAGCCAACCGGGGGTAGATGGCGAATCCTCCTGTCATTCGTTGGACGACACGCGCCCGCCCGAATCAGACTGGAGGTTCTCGGAGTGGCGTGGCGGAGGTGTGCGTCGAGGCTCAGAAAGGCAATGAAAATGTCACGAGACTTAGTGATATTCCCACGAGTGTGCCCGGTCGTAAGCAGGAGCGCGGTGAAGTCGCCGCCGTTCCAGTGTGGCTCTCTGCTCTACGGCTCCTACCTCGCTCTCTGCATGCCCGCCATGGACATCGACAGCCCGGATCAGATTCACGGGCCCTGTGTCCCTTTTACACAAGCTTTCTGGGATTCTCTAGCTGGGCTGTCTCACACTGCGTACAAGACTGCTCTCGAGGCTTACTCTACAGCACTAGCAGCATCTCCTGAGAACCAGCGTATTCATCTTCGCGAATCTCAGGTGCTTCCATCTGTCAATTATCAGGAAGGCTGCGACGTTCTGTATATATCTGGTACTGGTTCTGGAAAAACCATGCAGATCATATCTCTGCTCTCCTCGACCCTGACGCCATCATCTTGGTCATGTTACCGCTGTTGCGCTTGCAGGAGACGATGGTGAGCGCCACGAAACCATATGAGAATTGTCTAAATTACTCACATACATCTAGACGAAGGAAATAGAACGGTTCCGAGGTTTGCGTGCGATTGCTGTGAACAGTGAGATGCATCATGATTCCGATACTTGGACGTATGTGATCGTTACTATATGTGTTCCAATGAAGTTTAATTAAGGCAACCAAGCTAATCGACGTGGATATATGACAGGATATTGAGAAATGCCGTTACAATGTCGTCTTGACCTCACCCAAACAGTGCAAGCCATTCCAAGGTCATCCGACACGGCTTGAGTGCCACTGTGGCCCGTAGCCCACGCGTGGGCTAACGGAAGTGGCACTCCATCGACGCTCTTATATTAAGTGAGAATGCGAACATGTCCATGTATGAATGTGTACTGTACTGTACATTAGGCATACATGACTTCCTCATCCTCGTGTGTTGGGAAAAAGGGCTGTAACTGACCCGGTATGACAGGAACTGAGGGTGCCACACTGTCAGAAGCCAGAGTATTCGAGGACTGAGGGATGTTTTCATTATTGAAAAATGATGTGTCATTCATCATTCTATGACTAGGTACAGATGAAGACAAAAGCAGAGTGCGAGGACAGGCGACAGAGCATAGAACGCGGGCAGT